GGGGGAGGAGGCCTCGGAGCAACCGACGCCAGCAGCTCCGCAACCACGGAGGAGTAAGGGGCTAAAGGGGACCACTGGGGACAGCGGTCAAGGTCTGGGGCGGAGAGGAGGAGTTAGCGGTAAACGCTAAGCATTTATCGGTGAGGGGGTGCGCTAGCTGGTCTACAGCCGGGTAAACTAGCCACCCCAGGATGTCAGTTACCCTATAGAGATTGCTTTCAGTTTTGTTATCACTTTTCACTGGCTTGTTTTGTGTATTTGTTTGCAGGGGAGGTACGGGGATTTTGTGAGGAAATCCTTCTGGGGCGGACCAGGTACCTTGTGGATTGGCGTGATTTTCTGGGTTCAAATAAAGGATTAAAAGAATAAAAAGAATAAAAAGAATAAAAGGTAAAAAAAAAAAAAAAAAAAAAAAAAAAAAAAGAGAGAAGAATAAGTGCGGGGACTTGAGTGGTTCTCTCTCTGGGGCGGACCAGGCACTTAGGCAAGTTTTGTGTGGCTCTTCGGACACGTAGGCTCAAATGTGGCAGGCTTTATTTCAGGCAAAAGGAATGTGGACTATTAACGGAGGAAGAAGAAGAGGGAACATTAGGACGAGCTGGGGTTGGGAGCAGGACCGTCACCATTTCCATCGGGGTAGTCGGCTAAGCGAGGATTGAAGACAGCCATGACTTGAAGACGGTGGCGGCGGAGGTCGCGGAGGTCGGAGAGGAAGGCCGCATAGGTGGAGCGGCGGAGTGAAGGAGGGAGAACGGAGGTGCTGAGGATTGTCTCGAACCGGCCCTGGATGTCTTCAATAGCGGCTTCGACCACGACCGCAGGGATAGCGTCGAATACACCTTTGTCTTCGTCGGGAAAGAGCTCCCGGAGGGCGGAGTCGTCTGGGTCGGACGGGTATCTAGGGTTGGGAACTGAGAAAGGAGGCGTGAGCGGGGAAGGATCACAAATCAGCGGAGAATACACTTACGGCGGAAGTGGCGAGAGGCAGGGAAGGGGTTGGTGCGGGTGGGCGCGAACGGGGAGTTGTTGACTACCGGACGAGGAGTAACCGCACGGGAGCGACCTGAACCTGGAACTTCTGAAGGCCCTCGCTCGGCAGGCCGGGGAGTGCGTAATAAGTTGAGGCGTGGAGGGGGAGATGAGTCAGGAGTGGTGCGTTCGGGAGTGTCGCCGACAGAGGGAGGCGGAGTAGGACGGGGTTCTTCCGGCTCGGGGTCGACGCGCATCGGACTGACGGGCGTGGAGCGAATAACTGGAGACCGACTCGACGGAGACGGTGGGCCCGAGGATATCACGATCGGTTCGATATCAATAGTAGTATTGGCCGGAACCGGGGAACGGACTGGTGTCGGGGAAAGCGCGCGCTCAGGAGTGGTTCGACGGGGCACCATTTGGAGGTCGGCAGCCGGGGCCGACGGAGGGACGGGAGAGTCCGAAATCCTGCGGGGAGAGCGGCGAGGAGAGCCACGGCGCGGGCTAGAGGCCGGGCGACGTAATCGCTTGTCGAAGAGTGGTTGGGTCACGCGGTGACGGCTGGCCCAGTTGCGAAGAGCGGCCCGATACTCGTGGCGGGACGAGAAATCGGACTCGTGGGGTCGAGGCTTCATTCGGTCGGAGCCAGCGGGGGACTCAGGGGAGGATTGTGGTGATGGGGGGCGAGAAGAGGGCGTAGGAGAAGCTACAGAGACGCTAGCCGAGTCGGGCACGACAAAATTGTCCAAAGAGTTTCCGCGGGTAGTAGTCCGAGGACGCTTGGGAGGTCGAGGACGACCGTGGGAATTAGGACTGTTAGCGCGGGTGCGGCGACGAGACCGGTCGGACGGATGCTGGACTAGGGAGCAGCGACGTTTGGCTTTGCGACAGAAGTCACACACATGGTTCGAGGACTCGCGGATGCACGTAGCGTTGCGGCTTTGACAGTTGGAGCAGGTGGACATGGTGGGAAGAAGGGGAAATGGGAAGGAAGTTAGGGAGAAGAGGATCCTGGGGACAGGATTTTAAGCGTTGGGGGGATGTGGTGGCGGGAGCGCGCCTTGACCAAAGCTTTGGCCGGTTTGTTTGGGGCATGCGGAATGCCCGCGGCGCTGATGCAGAAAGCACGCGGAGCTGACGCTACATAAGCAGGCTGAGGAAAGCGGCGGTGCATTAGTGGAAAGTCAAGCTTTCCGAGGCGCGGGAAAGTGGAGAAAAGTAGACCGAATGCACAAGGTTCTGAAAAGCTTACTGCGGGGAAACCGGGCATCGGCGGACGCCGGGGGTCACGGCCGACTGCGGAACGGGGGTTCAGTGTATACTGCGGAGGGGCTACAAGGAGCGGGGAGCACCGAGGGGCGGAAGCGGGGTTCGGAGCGGACCAGAGGCGGAAGCGGCGGTGGGAGACCTGCTCGGGAGCGGCCGGAGGAGTACCTGGACCGACAAGCGTCGGAGGGGTGACATGCGGAGTCCGAGGGGGTGACAGCGGATGACAGCGCGGGAAGCAGGAAGGGACTGGAGTGTGGGAAACTGAGGAGGAGTGGACTTCGAGGCAGAAGAAGGGGGAGAGGGGAAACTTATGATTCGGAACATATCAGAAAAACAGAGTGACTTAGGAGTGAATCGTGTATTAGCCTAAAGAATTGTTAGAGATAGATTAGAGTTAGAGTATTACCTACCAAAGAACAACAAAAGAGAGCTATTTTACCTACCTACCAGACCATCAAGCAAGTTACCCCGGACAACAAACCGGAGTAAGACGCGTTGCGGAGCGGAGAAGTACAAGAAATACCCTAGGGCGCGCCTTACTTTCCACACCGTGACTGTGTCAAGGACGATATCTTCAAAATTGTACATGTCTCGACACACAACATGCTGGCCGATATGTTGACCAAACCTCTTCCTCGTGTCATGCTGGAGAAACACCGGCTCATGTTTGGGCTTGTGTAATTTTTTTTTTCTTCTCTTCTCTCTCTCAACTCCTTTTCTTCTTTCTATTTCTTTGTCATTAAACTCAGTCATCAGCAAGGGGGGGTGTTGAGATACATGTGACATGTCACTGATTAGTGCATGTCCACTGTTGTTAGTCTGCTTTCTTCCTGATCTCATTTCACACATGTCACATTCTGTGACATGCACTTGTTTTCTTTCACTCTCTTATACTGGATTCATATGTGTGTGGTAGGACTCCTCTTTCCTCATCCTTCCAACACATTGTCTCCAGGTATGTTTTCTCTCTTTCTCTTCTTTTTCTTTCATCTTTTCTCTATCTTGAAATGACACCTATCCTTCCAACACATTGTCTCCAGAGGGTCCATCTCAACACAAGCACCAGTAATGCTGGGGTGCATACTGGCCAGCAGGTTGGTAGGTGTCTGCTATGGCAATAGTAGTTATGAGCACACAATCACTCATGATTGTCTGTGGAATAAGTCCAGTGGGTTGTTGTAGCCATGTCAGTATTAGACTTGAAAGTGAGCTGTGTGAATATACATAATCAATTGTGGCATGATTTGGCTTTGATTCATCCAACTGTTCAACAAATCAATCAAGAGGATGAGTCATTAGATCATTCAGGTCAATGGAAAGATAAATTACATACCTGAAAAATATCTGGGCAACTAGGAAGCTTCTCAATGGCATGCCATCCAAGGCCTGCAACAACCTACTTGTTCAGCCACTGGTTCACCACATGAGGTCATTGTTGCATGGTCATATCCTCATGTGGTGAATAAGGGTTATGATTGTGGTCCCACCACCAAACCACACAGAGTGATTTGGTTAAAATATGGTGGGACACAGTGAATTGAGCTGCACAACCAATCTTTCGTGATTTGACCTTCTTTTTTGAGTTGAGGGTTTTTTCATGGTGGCCATAGCAGGAGAATCAATACTCAATCTTGAATGGGTGTTTGGTATGTTGGCCAATGGGCTTGGATTGATCTACTGTGACAGTCTCAGAGTCATTGCAAGTAGTTTTTTGATGGATCTGTTGAATTTTTGAGCTCAAGACAGGCTAAAGTTGAAGAAGTTGAGAAAATGGCACAAAAAAGCTGAAGGCCTTTTTTTGGGAGAGGTTCACAGAAAAAGAGTGGAAGAACCAATGATTTTTATTCACAAGTAGTCAGCCAAATTAAATAGACTAAATACAAGTGGTCAAACAGTGGTTGAGGCAAATTGAATAAGAAAGGAAAGTTGAATAAAAACTAAGAGATAGAATAATTTGAAGTCTTGGAAGAAACAATCTTAGCCAGACTTCTCAGTCTCTTTTAGTCAGAGAAGAAGATTTAATCAAGCAAAATCAGAAATTCTAGCACAAATGTTTGAAGGCATTAATTCCTAATGATTAGTTTTTAAGGAATCAAATAGTGAAATGGAAAATGAAAGGAATCAATCATAATGACAGGGGTTGTTGATATAATTGCTATTGATAGTTCTAATTAGACTACAAGAAGTGAATAAAATTCAACACAAAACCAGCAGTGAAAGACTACAATTCAGTCTAAGTCAAGAAGATTCATGAAAGAAAGAAGGGGGAAAAATAAAGGGAAAAGAGGGAGTTCAATGCATTTGGTATGTCAAATGAGGTGTCTGAGGCGGCAACTTCTTGAGTGAAGGGGAGCGAAACTACATCAAAGATGTCGGCAACATAAGAATACTCTAAGTGATGTTGAATAGTAGCAGGGCACTTCACTCAAGGATGCAACAAGTGGATGGGGTTGAGAAATGTAGTAAGAAGCGGTTGGCGGAGGTTCCAAATCATGGAATAATTCAAGAAAAGTAACTTAGGGCCTGTACTGTATGGCATTTTATCAGAATTTATCTTCCTCCAAATCTCTTATGATCAAGAGTGACCATCACCGTAGGCCATTTACAAGCCCAAAAAAATGAAGAATTTCAACACCACATCTCTCCCCTTGTTGTCAATTTTTGTTTAGAAGACTGAAAAAATGCCCATATTTTTTCAAAATTCAATCCTACGGTACTGGCCCTTACCAATGTGCAATTTGAAAGTGGTAAAGGTTTAGGGGCACCGGGCCAAGGATTAGAATTAGGAAGATCTTATGCATAGGCCTATGGAGGTGTTAAGGGAGTTACCCAAGATATTGGTATCGTGTATATGTTCGAGACAAAGCATATTAAGTGAGTATGAGGCGAAGACAATCAGGGATTCTCACTAAACAATATTGTTTTTTTTTTCTTTCTCGAAATAAAAGAGAGAGGAGGGAGATGAAAGATGGGACGAGCAAGGATGTTCCAAAACAGAAGTGAGTCAAGTCAAAACGAACAAACTTGTCATGAAGAGATGGCCCAAGAGATCAAGAAGGTCCCAGAACCACATACATATATATATGTGTGTGTGATCGAAGAGCTGATCTAGGGGGTGCAACGGGCCGTGTATCTGTGCAGAAGAACAAACCGGATGAGTGGATCCAGGGCCCATATAAGCAAGTGGGCTTGGCTAAGAGAAAGAGAGAAAGAGAGAAAAAAAAAAGAAGTTACCGTGGATATAAGGAGCATTCTCGGACATGTGGGCGACCCAACAACCACGCCAAGAACCGCTAAATTCGCATCCAAAAAAGAAAAAAAAAAAAAGAGAAAAAACCCGGATCAACAAAGATGAAATTTGGAAGGAAGGAAGATGGGTTTTGAAGACTGACTTCGACTCCTAATCCGTAGCCTCCGTGTTCACACGTGCCGTACTTGCGTTGATCGGTGTACCTGATCAAAAACGAGTGATCTTTGATCAGCTTAAAGGAAGGGTAAGAATGCGAGAGCCGGGGAGGATGGACGGACCAATAATAAGGATCGGCGGGGATTCCAGCGCCCTTATAAGCGGCGAGAAGTTCCTCATAGCCGGTCATCCTCATCGACCCGCCCACGATTTCGCCGACACCGGGCATGAGGACGTCGACGCTCTCGGTGAAGTTCTCGTTCCCGGGGATCCGTTTCATATAGAAGGCTTTGATTTCCTTGGGGAAGTTGATCAAGAAGATCGGCACCCCGAGGGTGTCCGTCATCAGTCGCTCCGGGGCCTCTGGAATATCATCCGCATACGTAAACGCCCCCCCTCCATCCTCCATACTCTTCTCAATCCCCCGCCCATTCAACCAGTCTATCGCCTCCCGATACTCCATCCGCTTGAACGGCCGAATCGGCATCTGGAAGCTCGGGTTCAAACTCTCGACTAAGCCTTTGATCTTCGGATCTTCGAGCAAGATACTCAACGTCGAACAGATCTACAATTTCATAATTTATCAGCTTTTTTTTTTGGAAGAAAAAAAAAACCGTTAGATTCTTTGAGCTTGAACTTACTAATTCTTCAATGTGAGCTAACAAGTCTTCGAAAGTAAGGAAGGCTAATTCGCCTTCGAGATGGGTATATTCACTCAAGTGTCGACGAGTCTTTCGAGGGAATGTATGAGCTCGGTGACATGATGATGATGATGATGAGTTGAGAAAGGGAGATGCTCACTTTACTTTTCTCAGCTCGGAAGCTCTCTTGGATACAGAAACAGTCTCCTAAGCTGGGCAAACAAGTCTCCAGATAGAGTTGAGAGCTTTGGGTAAGGTAGGCTTTCTCGCCGTAGTATCCGAATTCGAATAGAGTCGAACCGCCCTACAGTCAAGTTGTTGATATGAATTTTCCACCAAACATATATAAGAGAAAGAGACGAGAGAGTGTAATACCTCGACTTGAGTCTGGACCATACATGGAGGCGTGACTTCGACCATGGAGATCTTGGCATAAGATTTGCGGAATGCGTCTAGGAGGGCTGAGCGGACTTTGAGTACGCTCGAGGCGGTCTCCCCACGGATGACGAGATGACGACGATCGGCGAGGGTGTCGGGGCCGGAGTCCTCTGAGATCTGGTTGCTGAATGCCTCCGCATCTCCGGGTGCCCTTCCGACGATCGACCACCAATCCACCTGTAACTCGTGTCCCTCTGGCGCACTCTTTCCTTCGGGTAACGCTACCACTTTCCCGGTCAATTGGATCGTCGATTCGGTGGTTAGGGTTAGAGCATCATAGGTTTGAGCCTGAGTATATATATATATCAGTAACTTCATTTTTTTTGAAAGGGGGTTTTTTTTTATCTAGATACTAACCAATTTTCCGGTTAGTACACATTGTAAGAATCCGGTGCCATCTCTCAAGACGACAAAGATGAGACCTTTCTGTTGCCTTAACCTGTGTACCCAACCGAACAGTCTGACTTTGATGTTACGATTCTCGAGGGCATGCTGGATCTTGATACGTTTGGCAGTCCCTTCGGTTTCTTGTAGGATGATCTGACGAGCCTGATTGAGTTTTTGCTCCTCGTCGAGTTTCTGCTGATCCTTGCTAGGTTGTTGTTGTTGTTGTTGTTGTAGGGTGTTGTTGTTGTTTTGTTTGGCAGCCTTCTTGATGTGAATGTCGTATGCCTTCTTGGCTCGTTTGAGTGCAGTTGCGCTGGCTGGTTGGTAGCAGCCCCCCTGTTCGGCTGGCTCGGCTTGCTTGTAGACCATGCATTCGAGTGTGGTCGTGCCCCTTGCGATGTAGCTGGCTAGGATGGATTGGTAGGGTGCACTCTGGGTTCCGTCTCCGTCAGTGTCTGATCCTCTGGACTCGTCGATGTGTACGGTGGTGATGTCCAGTTTGGCGATCCCTTGTTCGAGTTCGGCCATATTGATCTTGGTGGTTTGTTGTGTTTTTTTTTTTTTTCGATCGAAGTTTGGCTGGCTGCGGGTTGGGTGGAGTGAGTGGGATGTCACGGGTTTGAAGGTGTGTGACATGGCCCAGTGTTTCTTTTTTCGCCATCCTCCTCTGCTCGATCCACTTCTTTCTCTCTTCACTTCCCCCCTGGGACTCCGACTGACTAAAAAAAACAAAACACTGACTCTAGTAGTAAAAGTAAAAAAAGAAAAGTAAGAAATATTAATTAGGTTTCTTAATCTTTGCCAACAAGAGTCTCCCTTCTTTTCTGAAATTCCAAATGGTTTCTTTACCACCCTCCACCACCACCATCCCAGCTAAGCTCAACCAGATGGGTCTCACCAAAACCAATGCCACCGATGAACAAGAACAGCCAAGCAGCAAAACAACGACTGACTACTCAAACAAGAACAAACCACAACAACAACAGCAACAACAGGAACAACTTATAAAATAATCATCATCATCAGACAAACTATTTACACCATGCCCAACTCATCAAACCACAAGAATGGTAAGCCTCACAAAACTCAATCAAACACCAAACTCAAAACTCAAAACAAAAAAATACTAACACACACGCACACACACACACAGCCTGCTTCTTCACCCCACACCCTCTTTCCAAACACCATCCACGACACTCTCAATCAAAACCAACCCAACAACCCAAACCAGCAACCAGCAACCAGCACCAGCACACCAAGACACCCACCACCCTTCAGAAATTCAACCAACCCCACAAGACAAACAACACCAACAACAACAACAACAAAACTATAAAAAAGAGACCTCCACCGAGCGACCCACATCCCATCCAACCACAGAGAAGGAAGATATCATCAGAACCACCAAAACCTCCACCAGCTACTATCCATCACATCCCCCAACAAGAATCAGACCGACACGAGAGCTCGAGTCTATCCTCATTACACTCAGAAGATGATCACCAAGCCTCCTCCCCCTCCTCCTCCTCCTCCTCCGCATCATCATCATCATCATCCGATCATCATCATCACAACAACAACACCGACCAACCAACCAGGTCGAATACCGAGAATCAAATCATACCCGATCATCAGCCTATCCCTCACCCAGTCTCATCCCCCAAAAAACTCATCCAGCACGATCATCCCCCACAGAGTAGTCCTCACTCGATCTCTAATAAGATCGAGATCGACGATCTCGACGACCAACCATCAGAACTCGGTGAGGATGTCTGTCTCGAATATACCGACTTTGGTCAAGATCTGGGCTTCCCAGTCACCTGGTCTGAATCTGAATATGGTCAGCTCTTTTTTTTTTTTTTAAAAAAAAAAAAACATGAAAAAAAAAAAAAAAAAATGACGTTTGATTCTTTCCCCGATCATCAGATGAAGATCATGAAGCAGAAGAACCAGCGGACGAATTCGCAGAATTCTTATTGATGGATGCTAGTGAAGGCGATCATTCGTTTGGATTCGAACAACTGCAAAACTTTCGAGCCTCATCCAAGTACAGTCAGATGATGGCCGGAGTCGATCGAAGCGAAGGCGGGAGTACGGATGAGGAGAGTCATCTAGGATACATGATCATCGAAGAACTCGGAGATGAGGATGAGGACGATGATGAGGATGATAATGATAATGAGGATGATCGATCGGAGAAGGATGATCGAACTAACAACCATTCCCAATCAATCAGTGGCGATGATGGCGCTACGACTGACTCCCTGGATGAGGACGATCACTCGGGCCTCGTAAGGTTTGGGATCGAGGCCGATGACGGCAATGAAGGTCACTCGGACGACGACGACCATCAGGCTGATGAGGAAGATGATGCCAGCTTCTTTGACTTACCTGCTACCTCAGCCCTCGGTTCAATGTTGACGAATTTCGATCTATCTGGTGAGAGATCCTTCTCCTCTTATCTGTGCTATGGAGGCACTGATTCCCCTCCCTTCCCTGACTCAGTTATCAGCACCCCCGATTCGACCAATCCAGGAGAGCCACGGCCCAATAACTTATCTGGCTCACGTGAAATCAAGCTGCCGGTCATGGGATCATTTTCGGTGGATCGACAAGATGGAACGAATGCAGGACGGACGATAATCGATGAAGAGAAATCAGTTCCACTATCACCCTTCACAGGAACCAAGGTGATCCGCTACAATCGATTCCGGAAGCTCCGACAACAGTCATGTACTGGAGAGAGTGAGCCATCCTCATTGGTAGGCACGCCCAAGGCAGAAGAGTCCCAGGACTCGATCCATCCGGGCCCCTCCTCGACCAATGAGCTCGGTCTGCCTGAACAGGAGTTTGATATCACCGCCTTTATCAGGGGGATTTCCTCGATCGACGAAGGCTGTTCGGATGGGGAGAAGAATGCGTATGAGGGCACGACGGCGGAGTTGGATGGTCTATCGCGATGGCAGCGGGTGCCGATGACGGCCTTCAGACGACAGATGATGAGGAGCTGTGCGGAGGGAGGATCGGAGATGCTGCTCGACGGGGCCATCCAGCCCTCGTCCTCACTCGACGAGACCCTCGGCCTATCCGTCCAGCCCGGCCGTGCACGCAAGAAAAACGGCTCATCATCATCATCCAGCCTCCATTTCTCCGGCCTCAGCGCACCTAATAAGGTCTACGACCGTCGTCTCCATCGTCGAATGCGCAAATCGACTAGCAGCTATAACTCTCATGGCAAACAGTCCAAACTCGACCCTTGTCCATCCGACCCACTCCGGCTCGACTCTGAGGTGGCTAAAATCGGCCTTCCCGGCCCCAACATCGATCATCATCATACCCTCGCCGGTCCCTCCAAAAAGCTCAACTCACTCGTCGACGATTCCTCGGACGGTTTTCATTCCAGATTATTATTTGATGAACTTCTTGATCTAGACCAAGGTGATCTGAGCACCCAAGCCTGTCCTACGACCACTACCACTACCATCTCGACTACCTCTACCATTAATAATACAACCACTCCCACTAGTGCTGCTGCGACGGTCAATCCTGTCCAGTCACATCAGATCCCTGCCTCTGATCTTCTGCTTCTTCCCTCCCTCGATCACTCTCTTAGTCTTGATCCTCTCACTGCCACTACTACTACTACTCCTAATCATCCGGTCCTCGACCTCGATCATCTTCCTCTCTTGAACTTCATCGACAAAATCTAATCATCTACCACTCTCTTCTTCCATTTAGAAAGAAATCCGTCCGGGTTCTTCTCTCTCTCTCTCTGTGTGTGTGATTTTTTTTGTTGTCAGTTTGTTTGGTTGACTGTCTCTCTTTCTCTCTTATTAGTTTTACATAACTTTCTTTTTTTTTTTTTCGGTCAGATTTCTCGCTCCATCCGACCCCGCAATTGTCCCCCCTCCCCCTCCTTGCCCAAAAACAACCCTCCTCACACTTATAACACTCTCTTCCCGAAAATAAAACGGGACTCGTGTAGATGTGTTTGGGGGTTCGGTATGCGTAGAGCTACCATCGTCTATAGATAACCCTGTTTTTCTTTTTTTCTTTTCTTTTCTTTTTTTTGTAAGTAAAATAAACTAGTTCAAGAAATTGGTTGCGTGTGTGTCTTTTCATAGAGATAGGGTTTGTAGACATGAAGAATGGAAGAAGAGGGGGTTGGGCTTGGGGTTGTGGATCAGTCATCAGCCGCCTTTTGGGCCCTAGGCTTTTGCAGCTGTCTCCCCCCCCCCTCTTCCTTCCATAATTAAATCTTCTTTGTTTTGGGGACCCGCTAAGTTGTCTTGCTTTTCTTTGCCGGGGGTTAGAGAGATAGATCTTTCAAGTCCGATTTTAGAATATTCTTAGCGGGGTTGGAGTTTTATCGCTCCCGCCGAGGAGCCAGTCATCCGTCTATGTAATAGCCGGCCACTCTCCGGGTCGTAGAGTACTTCGACCCCGGCAACAGTGTGTCAGTGTGGCTTGAAATTCAGCTCGACTGTCTCGGCATAACACTCAGCCCAGTTGGTCCGTTTATCCGCGAGTGTATGTATAGACCCGACAAGTCGGAGGATTAAGGTCCGCCCATATACCTATTGGTTAAGAGTCGACCAAGACACCATGATCCAATTAATTAATCAGTTTTTGGCCACACTCCGGCCAAATACCCTTACCGGGGATCATGCAGGAAGAGCTGATGATACCGCCAGCTCCAACAGTCATCTCATTGCTGGCTTTCCTTCATGGCCTAGGTATTCATGCCATCCACCTTAGCATAGTGTCTCCCCTTGATTTTCATTTATTTCCAAAATTCACAATCCTTCTTTGTATTGCAAGATTGATATTAAGGAATCGATTGATAGTGAATAAAACAGATTTTTTTTTCAACGACCCATACGCCATCTCATGGCCATGCTCGTCTGAGTCACAGCAACAGTCAGTGTGGGCCGCGCAAACGGCAGGATGAAAGAGCTACCGAGACATGCTTTGATCAGGAAGAGTTGATGCTTTTAGATCGAATCTCACGTCAACGGTCAGTGTCCACTCGTGGTGAGGTACAGTCTCGGATGTGGCCGTCCGAGCCGGCTTTTCGGGCAGTGTTAACTACCGCACTGCTCTGCCCAATTGCAATCACACCCAGTATCCGTGCAGGACACTGTTCCTCATTCCAAATTCAGGCGGGGTTGGAGTAGGGTAAGGCAAGGCAGCAGCTGCAGGGGCCAGACGTGGGATGCAAAGTACGAGTGATACCAAGCGGCCATCTCTGTCGGGCCCTCCTGGATAGCTTTTTTTTTGGTAAGGGTATAAAATAGCGATTTTTCTCTTTTAGGTGGGTTGTGCACACAAATGAATTTCTCTCTCAAGTGATACAGATCGAATGAGTCTATAAGCGGTGGCTTGTAAAGGAGAAAGAAGTGGGGCAGAAGTCTTCCTTATTAAGAGACCGTAGAGGGAGTGACCTGGAGTGATTCATTGATGAAGTTTTATTCGCATTTTCGGGGTTTCCTAATTGGGAGATCGGTGAAATCGACTAATAATGGCCTGGGACTTCCTAACTTAACACAAGTCCCTCCGGGCGCGAAGCGCCCACCTCCCGCAGGGAGGGACTTGCGCACAAACTCAAATTCCTTGCAGGGAGAGGAATCACAAATGGCTGGAGTGAAAATAATAAGCCTCAGTGCTGCTGTCCCTGAATGCATATAGACCTGCCCCAGAGCCAAAAAATATTTCTGCATCCCAGCTTTCATTTGGTGCTGGTTTCATCCCTTCAATCCTTTCCACCTCTCCTCTACATAATTTCAAAAATAACAAAAATAACAATTTTTCAAAAAAGGATTCACCAAGGATCCACAAACATACCGCCCTTGTCAATCCTCCATCTGCAAGTTGCAGATCTCTGAAGATCTTTGCAGATACTACAGGCAAGATTTGCTACCTGTAGCTGAGCTCTTTGAAGACCTTGCACACTGACTCATTAGTGAATCACCGCCCATCACTCCTATTGAATCAAATTGGCCACCAATACTCATCATTCCTCTCCAAAAGTAAAGTCTTTATTCAACCATGCAGACATTCCAAGAAAAAATACCAACAATTCCTGAACATGTTCGAATCTTGGACATCTGTGACAGAATAAACTCACATCAACTAACTCCAAAGAAATTTTTCTTTGCTCTTCTTAAAAACACACACGAGGGTGTTGTTAGTCGACGGAGCAAATGGTCAGGCAGTGGATTGCCAACAACCATGGAGCTGCTCCTGGAGCTGGTATTGCTAGTGAAAAAGAAGCCCGAAGGCCGACAACTGTGGGAAGATTTTGTGCTCAACGAAGTGAGCATTTTCCTGTTTAGATCTCGGAAATAATTAGCTGATGGCCATTCTGTTTCTTGTAGGCTGTTGAAATTGTTGAGCGCCAAAGGCCACCTAGTGGAAATTATCCTAAAGGCCTTTTTCAAAGCAGTAATACAATTACCTCGGACTTTCTAGACGAGAAGACTCAGCAAACATACATAAATGTACTCACCAAAGATGGGATGCCATTTCTATATTCTCTTGTCTATCGTGTTCTATCAAAATCGAATGATGTTGAAGCATATGCTCCAGTCGATGGTCATGATCAGATCACAGCTGATTTCGATAACGATGATGAGGAAGGCCTCAACATGGAAGAAATCGCTTATGGCCACGTTCCGTTGTCCGAAATGCATAGAACTAGGCGTTTTAAGAGTGTGAGCACCAATTTTTCTATATTGCTGTCAGATGCATTGTAGTGATTTGATTCTCTAGATCTCCACACTTGTGTGTGGCATGATTGCCTTTGCAAGGAACCGTCGACACAACGGGATTCAAATCAAGAATGCCCTTCAGCTTGTTTCCTGCGGCGTCACTGACCGGGTGAACCAATTCTTAATGTATCATGGCTTGGTTTGTGGTCAACGGACCGCTATGGCAGCTCTCAAGACCCTATCTTCAAATGCGGAAGCTGGAATCAAGAATTTTTTTTCAGATACTTTCAAGAACTTGCCCATTGCCCCAATAATATGTATTGACAATCTAGATATTGAAGAGAGGGTTCATACTCATGCCGTCGGAAACCGTACCCGCACATTCCATGGAACATGGGGCTATTTTCACTTGCCACCTCAAGACCTATTGGACACTCTCGATATATCAGAAATCACTCTGGAAAAATTTAACGAGGCCATGCGAAAAGTACCAACATTCTCAATCCAGCCATCGATGTTCATGCCCACACTAGAATCGGAAGAAAATTACAAATTGGTCTGGAAGAGTCAAATTGCTCGTGTCATGAATCAATATGTAGCTGCACCTCACGATTACTCCTCAGCGATAAGTCTCAACCCACCTGTGGTTGAGCAGATATCAAAGACTCCGCCAAACATCCAAATGCTCAAATTAATGGATGCCTCTGAAAACAGTGCCGATGGGATCAGTAAGGTACTCGACTCGGTGGTTAAGCAGACTGGGTTGTCACCCGAGGAGTTCTTTGGGAAACTCATCCTTATGGATGGCGATCTTGCTACGTGCCGAAATTTCAACAGCCTTCGGTCTATGCGTATACCAAGTAAATATGCGAAACATGGGCTGAATAACATTTCTTTTCAGCTTGGTGCTTCACACACCCTTTGGAATATCGCACATTGCATCTTCAAAACTCACTTCGGCGATCCAAAAAGCTCCTCAGATACAGGTGCTTGGCGTGTCTTACATTCTCTTGGTGTTCCCCACCAAAAGGCGATGACCAAGAAAGACTTCTCTTTAATGATCAAGTATATGGAGCAAGTTCATGAGGCTACCATATTATATGGACTCAAGTAAGTCAATTTCTCTGGTGATAATCATAACTTGGTTGTTTTGACTCTTGAGCACTAATTCCACCTGAATTACCAAGGGTTATCATGGGCACCGAGTCTGAGGCACTTATCGACTTCGATGATGCAAACCCTAAGCCAAAGATCAAAACAGAAAAATGGAATAGTATCATTAATCAATTCTACAATCGATTTTGTACTGCTGAGGCAAGAGCAGATGCGTACGATCAAGCAAGCCCAAAGGGAAAAACCCCAGCTGAATCGTCACCAAAACTAAACAACATACTGTTACGTCTACATGATTTTTCAACAGTGGTGGAGGCAAACAGAGCAATGAAAGCAGGGGATATCGGTCGCTTGATGGATGTGTGGAAGATGTGGGCGGTCATGAGCCAAGGATTGAAAGGGCTCAATAATTACTCCTCTTATCTACCACGGATGATCCTACTTTTAACAGAATTCCTTCCGGCTCCATTAGCCAAACTGTTCCGGCACTCAATTCTTTTCTCTCCATCTGGAAGAGACAACCATTTCATGTCAAAGGATTCTTATCTAGAACTCCAAAACTACTGGCTCAAGTTTGTTTACAATCGCAGCACAAAGGGGACTCAGATTGATCGACTTAAAGATCCCATCTCCTTAAACATTCACCTGGTAAGTCATACCATCTTCCATTTCCAACACGATCAAACAGACACTCATGCTACACTTCTCTGTCTGCAATGGCAGCTTCGCTCGCTGTTGCATTCCATCCGAAAAGAGAGTGGAGCGACAGTCTATTCTCAATCACACAAAAACATCATGCACTCTAGAGCTTTAAATGTCGTTATGCGGATGTCAGATAGATATGATATTTTTGATCTGAATAAGATAGTGGTTGAACAACCTAAGGAGGATGATGAGAACGTAGTCGAACACAATCAGAGGAACAGTTCATGTCAACCCACCATGAATGAGGAAGCCAATCGGACTACAAATGACAAGCAACCAGTCAAAACAAAAAACCCTAAGCCGATCAAAGTGGAGGACTCGTTTGTTGACGGATTCATCAAGATTCAAAAGGAATACAAGGCCGATCCCCAATTGACTCGCTTTAAACTACATATGCCATGTGATCCATCAGCCGACGATGTCGACCTCGATCAAGAAATGGAAGATCCAACCACTCATGAGGTCTGAAAGCTCTTTGGTAAGTTGTATTGCGCTTTCACCTCTTCCATTATCTTTCGCTGATTGGCCTTTCGAACATCGTCTACCGCTTTTCTTGCTAGGCGCTGCTCTTGTTGTTCGGCTCGGACTCGCTTCCGGTTTTCTTGCTCCAACTTCTTATCCTTGGCTTCCTCCGGACTGCATCGCTTTCTTCGAGCGATCTGTTTTGGCTTTTCAGTGACCAACAATCTAGTATTGGCGCCATCCTTCAAGACACCCGATTGGATTGACTGGACTCGATTCAATTGATTTGGATCATTTTCAGTCGTGACAAAGTTTTCAATCGACTTCAGCAACACTTCAACTTGACCTTTGAAAGCCTCGCCTCCAATCACTCGTTTCATGTCATTCCCGTCACATATTTCGTTTACGTTCTTCACAATCGCCTCCGTTTCCGTTTCTCCAAAAAATCTTCGTGGTAAAATTCTACCACCAGTTCCTACAGCTGTCTCAATCAATTTGTGACAGTCTCGCTCAAGAACCTTTTTCAGTTTCATAGCATCGCTTTTTGTTAATTTGATTGGTATGGCCCGTGTCTTCTTCTCTTCAGTTTTTGTTTGCTTAATTGCAGCGGTCGTAGTTTCAGATGTCATTGGGACCAAGTTCAATATGTAGTCCCTGAAATTTGATTGATTGAGAAATTTCAAGTTTTGCACCAAGAGATCCCCCATGTGTTCCATACAGTTGGAACACATGCAAAGAGCAAATTTCATTTTCTTCTCGTGTTCAACCTCTTCTATGTATGACCGATCGTTCCGACTGAGAGGAATGTGACCAATCCTGTCAACCAACCACCTCAAAAAGTCAGCCTTCTCATACAGTATACATGCATCCCTCACATCAAACTTAAGAGCTTACGAATTGTCAACTTTAAATGCCACCCGAAGGCAGACTGGGGTCACTGCCAAGGCATCCATTCGGTCCTCGTCTGAGTCGATTGGACCAGTAAAATCGCTAACCGAGTTTTTACCGTTTTTTCGAGTTTTTTCCACAAAAAGGACAGCCAATGCTGGCTCCCCATCTCGCCCAGCTCTACCGATCATCTGACAGATGAGTGATGGATCACCTCGTCCAATGTGTACAACTTGTCGCACGGACCTCCAGTTCTGGCCCATTCCGAGGGCCAGAGTACAAGAAATCAAAGGAACCTTGCCTTCCGCAAAGTCCGAGATACAGTCCTGTTTGTCTAACTCGCCAGTACAGGCATGATATCGACGAGCAAAGTCACTTCCAGCTATCAAGTGTTGACCGGGTGTTTCTCGCGCAGCATCCAACACCTCCAAGACCTTGAGAGTTGCATGTCGAGTGCCAGAGTAGATTAGTGTTGGAACAAGTTGACTGTTGGGGGTTTGTTGCTGAGAGGGGTACATGCGCAACAAATCAAGGCATGAATTGAGGGAATTGTTCATTGTAATTCGGAGGATACGGATTTCAGGCCGGCTTAGTTCACCTTTGATGATGTCAAGATCGGTGTCAACTAATTTCAGATTTTTCCTGATGGCCTCAATTGCCTTTGGTCGACATGTTGCTGACATTAAGAGGATTGGCGCGTTGTTTTTATTCAGTAGGGCTGCTCCAATGTTTCCATAGGAGGGGCGAAAAGCACACTGGTCTTGATGTCGTACAAGCGTTTTCAAATGCCGTTTTCCGCTTTCGACCAAGCCCCACGAATATATCATATGTGCTTCGTCCACAACAACGAGAACAAGCTTTTGTTGGAAGCTAGGTGTCAGATACATCTCCTCAAAACCCTTATTGTTGAGGAAGATTTCAGGACTAAGATATACAAAGTTGTAGAGTCCATTCTTGATCTCATTGGCCGTCTGTTGGTTGAAATTGAGCTGGGTCAGGTTGATTGCTGTATAGCCGGCCGAAATCTTCTCTTCTACTTGGTTATCGCCGAGTGCATCAAGTGGGTTCAGCACCACAACTACACCCAAAAATTGGCCCTTTCGATCTCGCGCAGTCAAGTTGAGGTACATCTCCGGGATTCTTGACTTTCCGTATCCAGTAGCGGCCAGGAGAAAGGTGTTTCGACCACGAACAAGATTTGCTACAGTGTCGACTTGTAGGGTCTTGCTTTCCTGCTTGTATTTGTCGAAGGATTCACTTTTGATGTAAGTCTTCAGCTGATTGTCGTCGTAATCACAAATCTTTCTAGGAATGTTAATCGGGTTCATTTTAAAGGTTTTCAAGGTGGATAGAAGACCTTTGCTCTTACCGAAAAATGGGCAAGTAGGCAAAAGGTTGTGCTGCGATGCAGATGATAACCCACTGTGAATATTGTAATTTTCATGTTTGCCAATCCTTCAGAAAATCCGAAAATGGATTGTCAGAGATATGGAATATCCTTCAGGATCCATTTGACCTCCAAAATGGATTACTTGGATCAGTTGTAGTTAGTAAGCTTCAAAAAATTGGCACAAGTTGCGCATCAAGAAATCCAATAAAACTGTCTGTTCAAAATTTTGTAAGAATGTGTTGTTCTTTTTTTAAAAAATAAAAAGTAATTTTGGGACTGAAAATCCCTCCTGTCTCTGCGAGGTTGCCAACGAAAGTCATAAGCCTCTCCTACGGAGAGCGCTCCGCGCGGGGTCCCCGGACCCTCCGTTCGAGGGGTTTTGTTAAGCTAGTGGGACTTCGGTACACTTGAATGTGTCGAAAAATTCATCGGAGGTGATTGTGTAGTGGTGATGGCCCTAGATAGTTACAAGAACGTTGAGGCGGTAACTCCGTTTTGGTTGTTAGGAAGCATCCTTTCTCATCGGAATAGGCCCTCATGTGTGAGAAGGATGATGGAGAAGAACTTGGACATACATCGTACCGCGTAGGATGATCGCAGCACGCGTTTGCTGAGTGGGGTGGGTTAATATCTATGCCGTAACAGGCCCATAAGCCGGCACCTACCGAGGTGGCCGGGGAGACTTGAATTTCGGTTATAGGGAGAAGGTCGTGTGGATCGGCAAGAAGTGAAGATCAGCCTATTTATCTGTCCATAATATCCTTTTCATCATATGACGATTCGAAGGTCAACCTACAAGTATATTTCATGGGGGAGACAGAGATGTCTTTGACTACACAGTATGGGTTCGTCGAACATTCGAAGATCGTGGGGTTCTTGGTGGCGCAAGCAACAAGTGGTAACATGAAGACTGCCAAGGGAGCTTTATAAGAGATCCCTAGAAACTGCATTTTCGTAATTAGTCTTGATGGGGTGGACGAGTTTTGTGTAGTCAGATTGGAGAAAAGGCGGTGGTGGGAGGATGGAGCAGGTGGGAAGGGTTATAACTTATATAGAAAATTGTTTGTGTGACTGGGTTCTACACAGACAAGCCACAGTCATCCTAGTGGCACCAAGGAAACGAGTCGACTGAGCTCACGTGGTCTGTACCGCACAATCCTGGACTGTTCTGAGTCCATAATGAGATTCTGATCTATTCTGAAGCAGAGCCGACAAGTGTACAACAGCAGCCTGAAAAAACAATTACCGTACAGCCGTACATAATAATGTATTACTGTACGGAGGCGTATGTGTTCATATATGTACATACTTATCACATGAGGAGGGCATGTATTGTAGGTCATTGTAGCCGGGGTCGCTTGGCGATGGTCCGGCCAGGGCAGCACTGCAGCCGCTCGGGTCCAGTCGCCAACGCTGGTGCATCGGTCCGGGTCGGGTGTGGCAAGCAGAGGTTGTGGATCCGATGCCGATGGGTTGCTCACCACGTCCGGAAACGGATTGATCGGACCGGGTGAGCTGCGGAAGAAGAAAACAGATCTAGTTCGCGTGGCCTCTGACTGGTCGGTCCATACTGGTTGATGATTGGTTGAGTGACTGCACGGCCGGAGTCCCAATTAGTTGCGTCTCCTAAAGCCTTTTTCGAGTACATCTCTGGGGTATATTGAGAGGAAAGGTGAGAAGGAAAATCATCCATCCGTTCTGCGTCCTTTCGGGCCAAAATGCCAAAGTTTTGTCAGAATGCCATCATCTCAGTTCAGGATCCAATATTAACATCGATATGAACAAAAGTCAATGGTGATGGTAATGGCATTTTGCTTCGTTTTGTACAAACCAGAAGCTTGCTTTTTCAAAGGGTAAGCTTTCTTGCACTAGGAAAGAGAATCAGCTCACTGATAGCCGGTGGAGAAATCTAGATGATAAGACTCAAGGTTCATCAAGTAGTTGACGGTGAGGAACTGATGGAAATGGGAATGAAGTGACTTATAACCCATCAAATACAGTCGAGCCTACTCACAGCGAGACTCGATGATGATTTTGATCAGGAGTGATATTGTAAACATCCTTGACGACGTCAATTGCTCAGGGCTTCTTGGCAAGATTCCCAAAAGTAGATCTAGTGAAAGAGATGAAGAATAATCAGTTTGATGAGATTGTGTGTCTCTAAAATGATTTTACAAGGAATAAAGCCAGGATTCGTATTCCAAGAAACAGAAGTCGGGTTTCCAGCTACTTGATGATTGGTTGTAATGATCCATTACAAGAACTCAAAATAACTGATTAGATTTCCATTCTTTTGCTCACAGAGGATGATGTGGGCCATGATCAAGAATCCCAGATAAGATAGCGGCACACGATGTCTCAAAATGATGGTCGAGTGTGGATGGACCGTGGAAGGATGAGGAACGGGTCCCCTCCCTCCGCGGTCACTGACTCGATCATGCGACTCCACTGAATCTCACTGAGCGACGAGTGCAAGTGCAGGTGGCATATCACCAAGCAGACTTAACTGGGGGGATAAAGAGAAAGAGGCAGATGGCCAAGCTGATTGGATTCCACAGAGGGTAATTAGTGTTCTTATTTCTTTGAGCATGGGTTCAATAGTATCTATCCTATCCTATCAGGAAAAAAAGCCTTATTTCTGTCTCTCTTGCTATGTTCTGGATTCCAATTGAATCATGTCCCGCCACCAGACTAGCGTCTAGGTCTCGGATTTGTATCAAGCACTTTGTTGTGATCAGATACATAGAACTAAATTTGTCACACAGGAGAAAAAGGGAAAAGATAGCATGATAATTTCCAAGAGACTGGATTTCTTCACGTCCTATGTAAGTTCAGAGCCCGAGATTGTGGTTGCGAGAATTCGCGATGAGTGATGTGGTGGTAATTTTCGATGATCATTGTGAGGGTGGTTACGTCGAAATCAGTTACTTGGTATTAGAAGCTTCATGACATCCATGTTTGTTGTAATCATCGTAATAGACTATCAATGGATCATCGTCACTCCGGAAAAACTAGAGAATTCAGATTGGGTGAGTACATAATTTATTTGATGGTCAGGAAGCACTCCTGCTCGGCGGAACGTTGGCTAGCTTTCAGCCAAGGAGATGATGATGGGAAGATCTCTCGACTTACGACGTCCCCCACAGATCTATCGCAGCACGTGCCTTTTGGAGTTCCGACGGGAAGTTTCGAGTGCTCGCATGTCAAGACCAGATCATTACTATTAGATTGCGGTGCGAAGGCCGGGCCGACTGGACAATATTCACAGCAAGGGAGAATTGGGCAGATCGAGAGATGAGAAAAGGGTTTTGAGGTTTGACTCTGAGTCAGCCCATCGGGTCATGACTTCTATAGAGTTCGATAGTAAACACACAGGCATAGTTTATTGGAATGGTTAATCGGTCCTCGAATGTACAATATCCATAGTGCGACCTCGCACATGTGAAGCGCCCTGTAGCGCCAGCGATCACTAGGAGGAGCATGAAGATCACGGAGAGCAGGTTGGAGAAGTTTGAAAAATGCATTTGGACGTAGGAACTTGTGATCGGGTTGATGGTGCTGGTGCAGCGGGGCTCGACGTGCAGATCAGGAGGTCTAGGGTGTAGAGACTCGGGATGAAGTGACTAATAAAGAAGAGGAACTCTGGATTTCTAGAGAAAAAGACTGAAAGAGAACCGAGGAAACAGAGGGCCGATTTATATTGGTCCGATGCAGGCTTACTTGTAACTCTGGGCCGAACCCGGTCTCGTAAAGGAGGAGCAGGCAAGCCCCTTGTATCATGCTAGAGCACGCCATGGCTCCTCATCGGCGTATCTATGGTACGGGGGCAGCGTCGGCTTGTGTGTTCCTTGGAGGCTAACAGCACTGTACATTACAAGAACAACCCCGGGAAGCAGAGCCTGCACCTGTACTATGTGTGGAAGCGGCCACAAAGCCGTGGCGCCGGTCGAACCGATGGGCCTGCAGACACATATTCCACGGCACAAGCCGCTATCACCGGAGGCCCCCAGATGCGCTTGTTCCCGGTCCCCCCCCGGGGGTATGAGTAGCATCCCAGGTCTCCAGCCACGGTCTTCCTGAATCCCTGGCTGCTACTTGACACGAGCGAGAAGAAGTCCTAGCAGCTTATCACGATCCCCTCGTCCCAGAGGGCCGGGGGAGCCGGCGTGCACCTTATTTCTGTTTATCTTGCTATGTTCTGGATTCCAATTGACTCACGTCCCGCCACACAAGACTAGCGTCTAGGTCTTGGATTTTTATCAGTCGCTTTGGTGTGATCTGTTTGACTGAGCTTGCTTAAACGAAACGGCGAGTTCGAAGACTTCATCACTCTAGAATCTGGGGAAGGAAATGATAATCATTCATTGGAGACACAACCATTTCGCACAGGAAAGAAAAAAAAAAAAAGGTAACATGGTAATTTTCGAGATATGTAATCAATTTTCAAAGGTCGGTTCGCCGAAATCTGATCGAATCTTGGGTAATCAGATACAAGAACTATGTCACACTGGAGAAAAAGAAAAGATAGCATGATAATTTTCAAGATACTTGATTTGTTCACGTCCCAAGTTCAGGGACAATTCGGATGAGTGATCATGTGGTGGTAATTTTCGATGATAATTGTGAGGGTGGTTACGAAATCATTTATTGTCGTTTGAGTAAAGGTTGGACAAACGAACGTATTCCAACTCTTAAAGTTATGTGGTTGGGGTGCACAGCCCGGGTTTAATCTGGCGGTTTTTGCCTCACACAGCCGCCAATCAATTAACCAGGCTGTGATGGGACATGCGCCCATCCGATCTGTTTTCTACCTCTTCACCGCACCCGCCTCAACCCACGACGACACCTTCCTCAATGGTTTATCGGCTGCACGAGCCGGCTACCAAGATCGCCACCGTTCGAATGGCGCAGCAGGGATTGTCGCTTCCCGAAATCTGCCAGCTGCTTGGTGTTGGGATCTCTCGGCAATCGTTTGGACAATGGCTCGAACTTTACGAGGAAACCCGACGTGTCATCAATGATCCGGAGACCTACGAGGCCCGCGGACGACCTGCTCTACTCTCCAGAGAAGACTGTCGATTCATGGTGAGTCTTGTCCAACGTGAGCCTGGTTTATTTCTCGACGAGATCCGGGAGCACCTGTACGACTCGACCGGAGTCCTCCTTAGTCAATCTGGTATCCATCGGAATCTTGTCGAGCGATTGTCGATTACCTTAAAGAAACCCGAGACCAAGCATATCCGGAAGTCGTTGGTGGCCAAGTATGCGTATGTTGAACGCATGGAGTTTTATCCGGCCGAGTTCCTGGTGTTTACAGGTCTGTACTTAGATCAGATTGTCTTGTTTGTTGATATGGACTCAGCTGACCCTCCCAACATGTCAACTTTAGATGAAAGTGGCTTCGTCGACAAGGACTTGCTTCGGGGCTTTGGCAGGTCGCTCCGAGGTGCCCCAGCCGAGCGATTCTTGGTCAATTCAAATGCAGCAAGACTAAATCTGCTCCCTGCGATATCGATCACTGGAATGGTTAGCCTCACCACTACGTTTGAAAACTTTAACGGTCGCAAGTTTGAGCATTTTTTGGAGTATGACTTGGTAAGACATCTCTCCGCTTTTGCTTCCATGATGTATGCTGACTGTTGTCAACAAAGCTCCCTCGAATGAACAGATATCCTGATACTGATTCAGTCCTGGTCTGTGACAATGCGACTTGGCATCGAGGCGAGCGCGTTCCTGAGCTTTGCGAGGCAGCTGGGGTCCAACTGATCTATCTACCACCATATTGCCCGGAACTGAACCCCATCGAGCTAGCTTTTGCTGTGGTCAAGCAGGAGATCCGATCTTCGAGGATTTTGGAAAGAACAAACGACCCAGAATGGGAAATTCGTCGAGTGACTGGTGAGGTCATGACAGCTGAATTGTGTTACAAACTTTACCAGCATTGTGGATATTGTGTACCACACTACTAACTGTTCATTCAGGTCAGAATTTCTTTGCTTGTTTTTGTCTTGTACTCTCACTAAATGCACTGAATCAAATATTGAGTACTGACTGTCTCTCCCTACATGACTTTTGATTAGTCCCTAGTGTAAGATAAATTGTTATCCTCAAGCCTGTTGAACTTTCATCACGAAAGTCAGCGTTGCAAAAGTTGTATCTGCAAGATTATCAATGTTTCATTATCCATTTCTTATCCCCCAACATCAATGTCCCATTGCACAATATAATAACCCTTTGTAACTAAATCAAAATGATATCTTTAACTAAAAATGGTGTGATTAAAGTCTTTGAGAGAATGCAAACAGACATAAAATGTCAAACTGATTGAAACATACCCAAGTGCCACCTAGGCCATGCAATCTGTGCAAAATATTGTGTTTCAATCACCTGATACAACAATTCAATTTATGGTGCATCATGTTTTTTCTAGTTGGCAAATACCAAAGGCTTGGGGTAGTTATTGATTCATCATTCAATCAACAAGACAGCTGTCTTGGTACATACAAAGTCAGACATGAACTACATGAATAAGCCACTTTGAGTTGGACAAGGTAAGACATGTTCAGTGAGGGAAAGAGATTGGAATAAGATAAACTATAGATATGGTAATGGCTAGATTGAAGGATTCTGGTTGGGTATGACGGTGCTGGATTGGCGATGATGGAAGGTTAAAAGGTAGGGATACATACTATACTGCTGCTGAGAAGATATACCTCATTACTGAGGAGTTTTATCAAATCTAGAGACATTATCGCGTAACTGAGCCACAATGCCATCACTCAAGCCCCATTTACTCATCTTCTCTTCGGTGATAGTCTTTGACTTGAACAGTTTTGGGTGAACAATGTCGTGCTGGTCCAGAATTTGAAGCACTGCATCTCGTTTCTCGGGCTTGATGACGAATTCGACGTACTTGCGCATCAAGTTGTCATCTGGTTGGATTAACACAGATGAGTCAGAGTCGGAAGTTGGACTGTATTTGCGGCGGGGTTGATCATCATCTAATCGTTGTCTCTTGGCTGCTGAAACTTTTTCAAATTTGATGCTGGCCGGGGGTGAGTACAGGCTGACTCCGTCAACAGATTTCTCCTGTAAGCAATAAAATGATGAAGTGAGCAAACTAACCCCCAAGCCATGTTTAACATTTGAGCAACTCACAAGTGCTGTAGCCCATATGTCAAGCACAGCGCCAGTCAAAGGAATATACTGATTGTCTTTGGTCGGATGGATGAACACTGGGAGCTTTCTCTCGTATTTGGTGTTGGGCTGGTGGATCGACAAGAGCTTGTTGGCCAGGACGTTTCGTGTATCAAAATCGGCCGCTGTTGGAGCTTGATCCGGATGGTCTTGCCCCGGTGCAGGTCGCTTGGAAGCATTTGCATCTTGGGCAGCCTGCCGGGCCAATTTGTACGCTCTGGCCGCTTGATCAGTCTTGGCCTTTTTTTTGGCGACTGCCGGATTTTCCATCACTAATTCTAAGTATGAGTTGGTGTTATCGGCACCGCTATCAATGATCACCTGCATCCAGGCCGCAAAAGCCGATTCATCATTGATTTTGGGCCTCGGTTTGGCGTTTTTGTTGAACTGTGGGGCGGTCCTGAGCTTAAGACTGATCCACCAGTCCATTCGTGGCGATCCCGATGCCACGGCATCTCGAATGATATCTCCAGCGCCCACACGGTTCTTCTCACATTCGTCGGCTACAAGATTATAGAATTCTTGAAGGCCAATCGATCCAGCCCGAATCGAATAACTGAATTTGCCATTCGATGACAATTCATCATATACACACTGGTTTCCCTTCCTTGGGAAATACAGCTTGAACTTCGTTGTGCAGGAAATAAACTGTGGCTGCATACATGTGAGAAAAAAATCAAGGCAGTAAGCAAAGGCACCGATGCTGGGTTCAAAAAATTAGGGGAATTAGGACTTACACGGAGTTCGGTTGGCTCTGGTCCTATACCATGGATCCTCCAATTCTCAGAGGCCGAATGGTAGCCCGGCGGAGGATTCTCTCGTCCTAACAAATCGTATCCGATTCGCGACATCGCTGATTATTGCGCCTCAATTCCTACCTACAGTTGATCGTTTGGGCGGTCTTCAGGAGTGGATGGGGCCTTGCCTGACCCCGGCTGGGGGCCTGGCTGGCCATCGAGATCAGTAATCCACAGCTAAGTAGTTGCTGTGGTCAATGACGTCATCATGGCCTTAAGAAATAAAAAAAAACCAAATTGAATGCTGAAAATCCTGGATTTTCGTTGGAAATCTTTCAAATCCGTCCAAGGATTCTTCAAACGACAATAATTGGTATTAGGAACTTTACGACATCCATATTTGACGTAATCATCGTACCAGACTATCAATGGATCATCGCGGGGCCGGTAATGCTAGACAATTCAGATTGGGTGAGTATTTAATTTATTTGATGGTCAGGAAGCACTCCTCATGGTCGGCGGAACTGGCTAGCGTTCAGCCAAGGGGATGATGGTGGGAAGATCTCGACTTACGACTTGGCCCACAGACTGATCGCAGCACGTGTTTTGTGGAATTCCGAAGGGAAGTAGCGAGTGCTGGCATGTCATGAGATTACTACTCCGAGGACTCGGTATGTGGGCCGGGCCAACTGGACCATCACAGCAAGGGAGAATTAAGGCAGATCGAGAGGATCAGAGGGTTGGGAGGTTTGAGTCAGCCCATCGGGTCATCCTATTCTCCATTGTATATCAGAGTTCGATAGTAAACATACAGGCATAGTTTATTGGTGTGGTTCCTAGGTCCTCGAATGCACAATATCCAAAGTGCGGATTCGGACATCCGAAGAGCGTCTTTTCCCCTGTAGCGCAAGCGATCACTATGAGGAGCATGAAGACCACTGAGGGCAGGTTGGAGAAGTTTGAGAAATCCATTTGGTAAACAGGAGCTTTATAATGTGATCGGGTTGATGGTGCTGGCGCAGCGGCGCTGGTGCAGATCAGGAGGTCTAGAGGGTGCGGTACAGACTCGCGACGAAGTGACTTGGGTTTCTAGAGAAAAAGACTGGAAGAGAACTGGGGAAAAAACCTCTAGGCGGACTCTGGGCCGAACCCGGTCTTGTAAGGAGGAGCAGGCAAGCCCCTTCACCTTGCATCATGCTAGAGCACGCCATAGCTCCTCATGGTCGTACAAAGCTATGGTACAGGGGCAGCGTCGGCTTGCGTGTTCCTTGGAGGCTAACAGCACTGAACATTCCAAGAACAACCTGGGAAGCAGAGCCTGCACCTGTATGTGTGGAAGCGGACGGCTGGGCCGGGGTGTACTATGCACAAAGCCGTGGCGCCGCTGCCGACCACGGCAACAAGCCGCTATCACCGGAGGCCCCCGATTCGCTTTTTCCCGGTCCCCCCCGGGGGTATGATTAACATCCCAGGTGTCCAGCCACGGTCTTCCTGAATCCCCGGCTGCTACTTGACACGAGCGAGAAGAAAACTACATATCGATCGAACTGCCTGGATTCCCAAGAAAACACTCGCAAACGATCATGTCAACCAAGCGACCCTCTGAAGCCGGCACCTTGATTTCCAAGCGTCCCAAGTCCGAGGAACCCAACACCCAGCAATTGGTCGTCAGCAGCGATGGAACTGGGAAGGGTCAGCTCATTCAATCCGTCAAAAGGTTAACCCAATTTCTCTTAATGTTCTTCCATCTCGAAATTCCTCCCTCCATCTGTGCGCATGTCCCATCTCTCTTTGTGCGCTCTCATCATCATCTTCTGTCCCTAAACTGACTGTAGGTCCAATGTCTCAATTACGGAAAGAATTCCAATAGGACGAGCGGGTTGGCGGCCCCTATCATGGTACTCAGTGGTCATTCAGTAAGCATCTTGGGATTTCTCGCACGATCTCTGGATTCAGTTTAATAGTAATTCAAACCGTGTATTTAATCATCCAGGCAGAAGTATTGGACGTGAAATTCGATCAATCTGGTGATCACCTGGCTTCGGCTTCTGCCGATCGAACGATTAATCTATGGTCGGTTTACGGGGAAGAGTGCCGGAACTATGGTGTTTTAAAAGGCCCCAAAGGGGCGATCCTATCGATAGACTTTTCGCCCATACGTCCTTTGGAGCGTCTCTATGCCGGCTCAGCCGACAAGACCCTGACCACGTTTGATCTCAAGACTGGTCAATCGGTTCGTCGACATCGCGGCCATGGGGCCTTACTCAACTCGATCGCAGTTTCCGGAGCTAGTGGACATGACTTATTAGCATCTGCCTCAGACGATGGGACGGTGCGGATATGGCGCGAGGATGACAAGGAGCCCCTGGATTCCTTCGAACTTGGTTATCCTCTGACCGCTGTCGAATGGAGTGCCGATGGTCAACATATCTTTGTCGGAGGGCTGGATAATGACATTCACTGTTTCGATCTCCGTAAGAAAGAGGTCTCTTGGAGCCTGCGAGCTCATACAAATACGATTGCCGGACTCAAACTAAGTCCAGACGGAAGCTTCTTGCTGAGTGCCGGGTTCGACGACACTGTCCGAATCGTGAGTACTCATTATCTCAAGTTGATCTGACAATCATTGATCTGACATTCTATACCCACTTGTGCTCGCTTGTCAATCGACAGTGGGACGTTCGGCCTTTTGCACCAGTTACCAGTACACATGGCCCGAATGCCCCTCGTCGTCTGGTGCAAACGCTGTTAGGAGCGCCAGCTGGGTTTGATAACGTAAAGTTCTAGTTTATTAGTCGGAAAGAGCTTATTGATTGAGTAGAGGAAGCTTACCTCGAGGGATCTTTTTTCGGGTTGCTTTGTTTGTCATGGCAGCAATTACGGTCGCCTGCGTGGGATGCTTCTGGCGATAAAGTGGCAGTAGGAGCGGCTGATCGGACATTGTGCGTATGGAATGTGAACACTGGTAACATCTTATACAAATTACCTGGCCATAAAGGGACCGTCACCAGTTGTGCATTCCATCCAAAGGAACCGATCATTGCAAGCGGCGGAGTGGATCGGCAGATCTTTTTGGGTGAAATCGATCCTGCTGCCCGATAATTTATCAAAACAAAAAATGAATGCCGGTTGTAATCGACGTTTTTGTTAACCCGGATGCGAGGTCAAGGGAAATCAAAAGAACCCAGAGAGCGATCAATTCATTGTTATGTATAGACAAGCAGCTCAATTAACATGATCAAATGCAATCATACTTCCTTACTGCCAGATTATTTGCTCATATCAGTTCAAACCATGATTTGGTCTAAATCACCAAATCGCGTTTCTCCACCCCTTCCCGAATAACTCCCGGCTTTCACGCAACCAAACTTATTCTCAGTCTATGGATCTCATTCAATCCTCCCTTATGGAGTAGTTGAATTAATTGACCGTAGTGCTGAGATGTTTTTTTTGGAAAATTATTCTTGTGCTGCAGCATCGTTCAGTTTCATGAGATCTTTTATCAAGGCAACCCAATTTTAAGTGTCCGCAAGATTACATTGTCAAGTGTCTCACCTGGAAGCTTAGGCGAGAGGAAAACCCCTCTCTCCATGTTAATGTTTTTGCAAGATTTTACGGCTTGCTTATGTTTCTGTGTGGTAACTTAGGCTCAATAAAACGGATGTCATAGCACTGAAGATATGTTTTAGATGTGTCAAAGGAGGGAGGGTTGAGTTTTGGCTCATTAACCAATCAGATTGAGATCACAGTCTACATAGCACTACAGACTTCAAATGGATATCGTGAAACAGCAACGAGGCTGAACTGATTCCCACAAGCTGAAACCTATCATCAATGTGGCAGGTTTGGACACCAGGTTCATTTGTCTGAGCTGGTTAATGAGCACATGAATCTCTTCCCACCTGCGCTACACCAACCTCCCCCTGTTCAGTCGTATGTATGTATGACTTTAATCCGCCCGTTTCTTTGGGAGCAATATGGCTGAAACCAATCCTGTCTGGAGTGAGCCCATCTCCAACGGCACCCACCAGCACACGGGTACACAAGCTGCCACTTACGCCACTGGCCATTTCTTTGTTAGAAAATCGGCTCTTGTCGCCCTCTCTTCTTCAACCAATCGGGGTTTGCCCGCTAGCATGTACAATGTGTATTTTCGCATCCTGGTATTTACGTATTGAGCACCATGTTGCACCACAGCAAACATGGGTTGCACTTGCGCCTCACAAGACACAAGTCATGCGCCATGATTGGGGGATGGCCGAGCGGGCACCGGCTCGAGCCGCTCACAGGCGTGTTTTATTCCACAAAAAGACTTCTGTGGAATGCCAATGACCTCAGCTTTCGAGCCCTCCGTAGAACAAGTCCGAGCAAGTTCCTTCCAAGGGATCTACGTACATCAAGCAAGTTCAAGCGGCTCTTTTCTTCCACTAATTCTTCTGGTCTGTGAAGTTGATGATCAGGTCATCCACATAAAAATACATTCCATCTGCGCTTAAAAGAGGACTATATAATATGGATTTGTATTTGTTTACGGATCACTTGATCAGTGGTGAATATGTAAAATCAATACAGCATTCCTCAATCAATCAACCAAACCAGAAGAGCCCAAACGATTTGTGTCTTATGTATTGTGGACCCGCTCCATCAGTGGTGTTGTACATCCCAATGCTTACCTGGTGGTGACTCGTGATACATACGCAGCTAGTACTAAGCTGCTCATCTACCATAGTTTCTCCAGTCTGCTTTGCTTCCCCCCTTGGAGTTTGCGGGGTTCCAAGTCTATTTATTCCGCATGCCAATCCACCTTTCTGCTCCCCTCATTCGGATTCCGCTGCAAAGTCTTCTCGCTGTTGAAAGCATCGGCGCATATCCATTCCAGACGCATCTAGGTAAGCTGTTGGACATGCCTTCCAATCTCACCCCACCTGAAGACGGAAGCCCCAACTGACATGTCTGTTATTGTTCCACTTGCTAGAATTCAGTTTAACATACCCTACCAGCTAGGTGGATGGTATTGAGCGGCACATACGCTTGTGGAATCCTTTCATCTCCTTAATCCAGCTGTCCAGCATTCACATCCCCAGGCACTGCATTTCTGCTCGTGGCACTAGTGCGTAAACTGAACGAAGTCCATTCCTGAAAAACACATCTGCCCCCGGCGAAACGTTGCCCCGACGATGGATAACCGTGGCGTTGAAGAACTCCTCTCGTCGTTTGCTTCCGATGCATTCGCCATCCAATCTCAGCCTGAGAAAGACTTGCGGGCCTGCTTGATGAATTTCTTTTCAGTTGGCCATGGTCCTGATGGGCCGACGAATCATCGTAACGCCAACATCCACGCTTCATCCGGTCGACAGTCAAACCATAGTGCCTCAAGTCCAAGTTTGCCGGTGGAAGCCCAGATGTCTGTATCATATCAAGCCAGCGAGCTCCCGCCTCCTAACACGCCGTTGGGAAGCCCGATGAAGGAAGACGTCTTCAACTTTCCAGCCCCCACAACCAACGCCTTCTCGCCCCAAGACTATCCAGTCACTCCTTCTCTAGCTGACAACAAAGCACAAAAACCGATACATCACGCTGTAACTCCTTCTAATAACTCATCCTTTGGGAGTTGTCCAAGTTGTTCTCATTCGCTCGGCTTCCACCAAGACGATCCCCGGCTTCTTCATGCTCCCAATTGCCACTTCGATCAATTCAACAACAATCATCAATCTCCTCTTGGCCAAGACTCTAATTTATCGTCCTCCCATTCACCCTCTGATCAATGTCAACTGCCTGCTCAATTTAACCCTTAACCCTATTGATCAAAACATGCGCTGCACTGTTGATGTCGGGGTACATTGCATCCATATATCCCTTCTAAATTATTCTGCTCCCAAAATAACATCTTGTCCATTTCTATGATTTGATTTCCCTTGCAAAAAAAATCAATTCTTGACTCTTCTCATCCCTTTTTTTCGAGAATCTCCTGCGCTTGTCCTCACCTTCTGTTTGTTTGTTTTTTTTTGGGGGGGGGGGGGGTTATTACTCTGATAATTTTTTCTCGTTAAACAATTGATACACTTATAAATCATCAAAAAAAATCCTAAATAACCCAAATCAAAATGAACAAAACCCTTCCAAGGATCCTCAAATATTGACTTGAGGGATCGTGATCACATTCAAGTGGATTGAAAAAAAAAAAAAACGGAAGAATCCATCATTAATGATGAATTTCAAACTTCCTCCAAAGATCTGTTCCTGAGAATTTGACTTTCAAGGCCCAGCTAGCAACTCTTTCCAAATTTGCAGTTTTGGCACCTGCTCAAAAGCACAATAGATGTTTTGGGCCAGCAGTCATTCATACCAGATGGATTGAGGTGAACTTAATATGACTATGAGGTTGCCCCAGACAGATTATCTGATATTAGTCTTGCACAAAGCACTGGCTCTGGAGTCTGTGGAAATCGGCAATGAGACCTATGGCCATGTCTCTCCAATACCTTCACATTGACTGCTAGATGCACATATTGTCCATAGTGAAAGCAACCCTGTAGACTGTATGACATGGGTTGCTTGCACTATGGACAAGATGTGAATCTAGCAAGCCCCTGGTGTTCAACCCTCATGAATATACCCTAACATGTTCTCTTGCAAACCATTTTCAAGCAAGCTATGCAGAATGTTTGTGAGTATGCATTGTGGAATATAGTTGAAAGCTGCTCACATCAACTTCAAGCCATGATCCAATCAAATTTTGGTAGCTTTCTGCTAACAGTTACTGGCAGACTAGTGAGAGATATATTACCCTGCTTTTTAGTCGATTTTTCCTTTACAACTTACTTAGAGTGGCCCAACACAACAGTATGGTAACACTGGCAATGCATAGGTGACAGTGGTCTATTTCTAACACCAAAGAATCAGCAAATCATTCAAAGAAGCTCTACTGAGCTAATTTCTATTGTCCATCAAGTGAAGCAGCTCAGTGAGTCAGTCTTATTGAAACTGGGGCAAACATATCATCCTTGGGAGGGAAGCCTGGTACAACATACCAAAACCAATTTTTTTTTTCTGATTTGGGAGATCCCATAACTTTCTGTTTATCATGAAATTGACTTTCTTGGGAATGAAGATTTGGATAGTTATGTTAGATTGTTGGAATGAGAACTCACATCATCCCTGACATGATTTCCCAGATGGGACATCTTGTAAATTTTAGGGAAATCCTGTAAAAAAATTTAAGATTTTTCCAGATGTTTTAGATTTTTCAGTTTTTTTTTAGATTTTTCCAGATTTTTTAGATTTTTCTAAATTTTTAGATTTTTCCAGATTTTTTAGATTTTTTCAGATTTTTTAGATTTTTTCAGGTTTTTTAGATTTCTCTTGATATCTTAGATTTTTCTAATTTTTCCAGTTTTTTTAAAAAAAATCAGATTTTTTCAGGTTCTTTCAACTTTATAGGTGTCTCTTAATAAAAAAATCTGGAAAAATCTAAAAAATATAGAAAAATCTAAAAAATCTGAAAATTAATCTAAAAAATCTGGAAAAATCTAAAAATTTAGAAAAATCTAAAAAAACTGGAAAAATCTTTAATTTTTTTACAGTATTTCCCTAAAATTCACAAGATTTCCCAGATGGGAAATCATGTCAGAGATGATGCGACTTTTCAAATTTCTTCTTCAACAGCAAGCTATGTAGCTTTGCTTGGCCAAATGTCATTTTGTCAAACGTGCTCCTACGTCCAAGGCTAGGTGTGGAAGAGATGAAAAAAAATCTCACCAAACAACTGATCTTTCCACCCAGAGCGGGTCGAATTTTGATTGCTGCAAAATCTTGAAATAGCATTGGTGATTGATCAGTATATGGAAAAGACCTGCCCACAGGTTATGGCGATGAATGGCACCAGACAAACTACCAATGACTTGAAATTCTGCTGCATGTTTGTATGTTTTGCCGCCTATATAGCTCTTCCGAAATCCAGATGAAATTGCGTGACAGGCTAAATGAGGAGAGCCACCACCAATGTGTAAGGTATCACAAGCTGCTGATGGTGAGTAGCTACGAAGTTGGGTATAGAGGGCGTTGTGAGCCCTGCCGAGTGTTCAGTTGTGCGGTGAAGGTATATCGACTGCTGAGGCTCAGTACAAAGGTGATGAGGAAGCTGTGGAATTTTATCTGAGGGAGTATGACGAGTAGGGAAGTGGAGTGGGTGTTGGGTGATGAGTGATCTCCATGAGACGCCTTCCGGCATAAAAAGTTCGGCGTCGTTGGCGATCCAAACGCGATGAACGACGACCCCGGACAAATGGAAGCCACCTCAACCGAATCTCGGCCGGGGCATGCCGAGGACATTCTTCAACATCCATCCTATCAAATCCAGTTCAATCCGAACGACTCGTTGATCAGGGAAGCAACGACCAATACGGTCCGATCGAGCTTGACGAATAATCTCTTGAGGGTTGCAAAATGGTCGGTTGTCTGTCATCGATTGCCCTCATTTAGCTCGAGGATAACCATGCTGATCGAGGTGCTCTATCTATCATTCAGGTCTTCAGATGGCAGTACAGTCTTGACGGAAGCAGAGGATCGAACGGTTCGATTGTTTATGGGGTACTACCAAGTTCGAGTTTCCCAGGATCCATGAGCTCCCTAGCCTTCATCTAGGTCACCCAATACTAACTTGCCTACTATTTGGCAAATCACCCGCGAGACCTTAGTTGCAAGCCCGATCCTCACGTCTCCGGCGATACGAATAATGATCAACTTTCTTGGAGGTCGACGCGGAATTTTCCCATGGCAGATGCTTTACTCTCGACTTGCTGGTTCCCCTATTCAAGTTTGAACGACCCCAGTCGGTATTGCTTTGTGGCCGCTGTCAAAGACCATCCAATTCACCTGCTGGATGCGAATGATGGAAGGGTGAATTACTTTTGGTCCTTCTGATCGACCCCCTTTTTCGAGTAGAACACATCACACATATATGTCCAATTTCATACCGGCTTTTACAGAAAATATTGACTCTATCCTTTCCCTTTTCTCGTTAGTAGATTCGCGCCTCCTATCCGATCGTGGATCACAGAGAACGAATGGTAGCTCCTCACTCGATGTTGTTCTCTGATGATGGTACCACGTCAGATTCACTTTCACACCAGTCTTCCAACATCGGGTTGAAGAACTGATGGTCGCCGTGTCTTCTATTAATTACAGACTTTTCGCTGGTTACGAGTCTGCAATTGAAATGTTTGATGTGTCTCGGTCGGGTGAAGCAGGCGAGAGGTATAAGACACTTTCATCGAGGAAAAGTAAAGATGGTCAAAAGGGTAAGACCTCTAGGTTCCGCTACCCAACCACTGCAAACTGATTTATTAAAAAAAATACATCTCCAGGTATTATTTCGGCCCTGGCTTTGGATCCCTCACAGCAAGGACTTCTGGCTGCTGGATCGTATTCAGGACAGATTGCTTTGCATGATACGAAATCTAGTGAGATCGCTCCGGCCCTCGTATTCAATACCACGGAAACCACAGGGGTTACTCAGGTAAAAACCTCACGAGTTGCACGATCGGAGAAGTCTTATCATCTCGTGGCATTCTTGAAATTCTAATGTGGTGTACATCTTTGGGACCCATTACATACATTCACATTGATTGTGATAGGTCAAATTCCATCCACAAAACGATCAAGTCATGTTCTCGGTCTCTAGGAAGAGCAATCAGATTCTCTGTTGGGATCTCCGATATGGAGCCACAACGTTCCACAGTTTCAATAGACCCGGAAGGACAAATCAAAAGATCCAATTCGATATCGATTGGGCTGGGGCTAATTTGATCACTGGTGGAACCGTAGGCCTATCCTTACACTTCTCTATTGTATCATACACACTTTCCTTATGGATAGGTTTTTGCTTGTTTTTTCTCTTAATCTGGTCGTTTACGAACAGGATGGAAAAATCCGATTCTATAGCCTGGTAGACGTCAATCGTCCAGTTCAAGAGTTTCAAATTCATTCCGGTTAGTGATTGTCTAGCTTTCAGATTTCCGGCTCCTCTGCAAACTGCTGCAGTCCCTCCATCTTTCACCCTCCATGCCCCGCCAAAAAAAAATGCGGGAGAGGGAACAGCAGCTCCCTTGACCTCCGCACTTCGAAGCACAACCAGCTAAATTGACCGAACCATTTTTCACTCGATTCTTTGGCATAGATACCATTGGTTCAGCCTCGTTTAACCCTACAGCTTCGACGACCATAGTGACATGTGCCGGGTCCAGACGTGCATCCAACAACCTGTCACCCCCGACACCGACCACAACCTCTGATCTTTCTTTAGTCGATCCACTCCCTGCTAAGGACCTTTCCTCCTCAGCTCATCATTCCAAACTAACCGAATTAAAGCTCTGGAAATTCTCCTATCTGTAATTTGCTATGTGTATATTGTGCTGCATCATCGATGCGGGCCGACGTCAAATAAGCTGAACACATCCTGGACCAAAAACAATGTAAAATATCATCCATAGGACAATTTGGCCGAGTGGTTAAGGCGATTGACTCGAATCAGCTTGACTCGTCATCAATTGGGATTTCCCGCGCAGGTTCAAATCCTGCAGTTGTCGGATTCTTTTTTTCGTCCTCAGACTTGCTCCCTCGTCCCAGTGGCACAATTTCTGCTGTGTGCTTTCCTTGGGCTTTTCTTGTGGCTTTTCAAGAGTGAATTGTCAGATTTGTGTGCATGTGTCAAACTAGTCCACTTTATGGCATCCAGAATCAGATCAGCGTAGTTGATAGAAAGACATCTAGCAGAGTCTTTTCCAATCAAGTTTTTGGGATGTTATGAACACCTTGATTCAAGCAAAGTGCATGCTTATGTTGAAGTACCCACGTGTAATAGCACAATGTGAAGGTGGTCTGAAATAATCACCTAGTTGAGATGGGACACCCTCAAGTCCCCAGGACACCATCTGAAGACAGCTGAGTAAAACAGTCACCTTGTGCCCATTTGGCTTTGATAAGAATAATTATGTATTACGGGGAGCTCAAGCAATGGGCCCAAAGTGTTATGGGGGTTTGTGATTAGGATCTACCAGCATACCCTCAAGTAACCAACAGCAGCGCTAAAATTTCTCACTACAAATACTTCTACACCACCCATCAAGAGAGGGTAAGGAATGACTTCATCATTCAAGGAGCTCCATGATTACTTTACTGGATCAAGCAAACCCTTAATTTTTAAGCTAGAATTTGCTACTTGGCACAAGTTACAAGCAATGGTATTTGCCCTAGCAGGTGGTCACAATTTGCCCAGCACTACCTGGAAAATCCTTTCCTAGCATCTATTAGCATCACTGACAATGGTATTCCCAAAGCCTATGCGGGTAGTGCCAAGTGGGAAGCATGGTTTTTGTACCCGATAGACGAGTGTATCCCCCGCGGTAGGGTCCCCGAGGGCTCGAGGGCTACATATTTAATGCAGTTGTTTCATCCCCGATGGACTGCCTCCCACCTCAGCCACCACCATCGAGAGCAACTGCTTGGACGAGATTCATCAACACACCAACCTTCGGATTCTTCCCCAACAGGAAATAGTAAACAGGTCGGATTTGGAAATGTAAGTGAATGCCGAAATCTTTTTCAATATTTTTTCTTCAACTGAACCAGTGCAAGCCTTTACTTGCTCGTGTTCAAATAATCCAAACTATCGTCTCGAATTGATTTCCATTGAACTGAAACACTGTCTCTTCAACTTACTCGAAAAACCATTATCAACAGGGGAGAACAAAATGGAAGGAACTCGAATTCGAACGGAACTAATCCGACCAAGAAACCGAAGCTAGACCCAGAATTTTTACCAGCCAACAAGCATGCACCTACTCCCTTGGAAAAGCAGAGGGCCGAAGTGGCCAAACTTTTGCAGGTTCATTCATGCACTTTCAAAAAGGAATAAAATAGTGAATGACCGCACTAATCGATTACTATTGCCTTTCTGTCTCGCTCGTCTTTTCGTAGAACCCAGCTCGCGAGATTCATTTGCCCAAGGCACCCCGAGATAAAACAATCCGACCACCTCGAGAAATGATGAAGGTTAGTTGATTCTTCACCCCCTCCTCATGAATTTCAAGTCACACATTCAAACCCTGAATACATGGCAATATTCCATCAAATCAGATACCTAGACAGTTAAATTTAATTGGTTGAATGACTTTCGCTTCGATTATGAATTAGTAGAATGTCCAAGGTAGTTCAGCTGGAGCAGGATCGGGTGAATTTCACGTGTACAAGCAAAGTCGAAGGAGAGAATATGAACGGCTAAGATTAATGGACGAAAACGAGGAAAAGGTACGTCCTCCAATAAATCGATCCATCCTCCGACTAGTTCGGTTTGGACAAATCTCACCCCAAAGAGATCTCTAAATCCGACCTGAACATAGGAACGATTGAGGGTCGAATTCGAGAACAAACAAGCCGAAATCAAGCAGCAGGTGGAAGCCAAAACGAATAAGAACCGGCTCAAGAGACAGAAGAAGAAAGAGCTGCGGAAGAAGAAGCAGCAGAAGGATGACAAAGGTCGACCGACCCATGGCGAGCAAGCAGGAGAAGAAGATCGATCGGCAGACTCGGGATCGGACGGGTCTGATGCAGAGGCTGGAACGGACCCCAAGAAAAAGCGAAAGAAATTGGGCGCCGCGCCGATCGCTGAACGGATGGTCTTCAAGCAGCCAAACCAACAATCCCTTGAGGATGAGGACGAGCCCGAAAAGGCCGATCAGGAGCATCGTAACGATGCTCCCGAAGACAACGTCGATATGGTCGAGCGGACTACTTCATCCGATCAACCATCAGCAAATGTACCTATCGTTCAGTCAGTGGGGCTCACAATAGTGGATGATGAGTGGTAAGAATGTCAACTCAGTCGGAATTCATACACTTTCCCACATCTATCAGATCCATCCGCTTGTGAATGTACCAACTTTTTAAGCTTCATAAAACGAAAATAACCCATAAACTTGAGAAAAAAAAAGGCAAATTGACATTCTGCTTGAGTTATTTTTTGGATGAACTCATCCAGCGAGTTTTTAAGCCATGAGTAATGGAACTTAGAGCCGTTGGGAGCTATGTATTTCAGCTTCAATACCCTTGAACGATGTTCTTTGAGCTGGATCAATCATTGGAAGTCATATTCCCTGGGCTCTCATTTTTACGGTAGTCATAGGATTGGGTTAAATTTTTTTAGAAATCTTTTGTTGTTGTATACAAATGATAGATAACTTGAGATCCACACCAGTGATCAGAGGATGGATTGGGTTTTCATAGATGGAAGATATCAGTTTCAAGGAAAGATTTCATTATCATACACAACCGAGAGAATGGGACTGTTCCGGCACTACTTTTGATCTCTGCACACACACGCACACACAAACATTTTTTTTTATCACTAGGAGACAAACTAAGTCTTCAAGAAAGAAAGAAAAAAAAATAAAAAAAGATCAAAGGAGATGGGAGCTGAACTTCAGTGTCGATCTTAATGGCAGACATAAAATTCTAACAAAGATGTATTTAATAAAAAAATATGGATAAAACAACGACGACTTGGAACAGGAGGGAGGAAAAGAAACAAATTGGTCTCAAAGTAATGATGATTTATTTTTCTTCTTTTTTTTTTAGCCCCCTCACATAAACAACACAAAAATCAGGTTAGTTTCTGTTTTAAAACAAGGGAGAGAAACAAACAAAGTATAAGAAAAAAATAGTGAGAATAAAAGATGAAATAAAAAAAGTAAAAACAAAACAAAACAAAGATAATGCAGAATCTTTCGAAGAAAAAAGAATCACAAAACAAAACAAAGTGATAAGATGACATAAAACCGAAAGGCGAACTAAGTTTGAGATTTTTTGAGTAGAGGGACGAAAGTTCGAACGGGCGGCATTTGTTGATCGGGAGGATAGCGAGCCAAGACCCGAGCGGGAGCGCCGTGGATCTGGAAGGAGGGATCGACGTCAGGGAAGCCGGGCAGCCCGTCATCGAGGATATTAAAGTGATGTCGGCCAGTCATATCTTTCGAAACTTGGAACCTGTGAGGAGGTTTTTTAGTACTACTACTGCTCGCTTGACAGTCATTGACTGGAGTCTCCTCCCCGCGTCGACCGATCGAGCTCGGTCTTTTACTACTTTCTCCATCTCCCATGAAAGCCAGTTTTTTGCTCTCCCATTCACTACTGATTGGAGTCATTCTCTTCTTCGCCGGATCACTTGAATGCTTTTTTTCGCTCACCATGTCCGTCGCGGATGTCGCTTTGTTTGTTTTCTGCCGATCAACCACCTCGAGAACTTCTATCTCATCCATAGCTTCGGTCCTAGCTCCATTCATTGCTTTTGAACTCTGTATCGGGTTTTCTCGACTGTGCTCCTTAGTTCCGTGTCCTACTGCATTCTGATCCTGTGGGTGAGCCTTGGGTTGACCAAGTCGCGACGGGCTATCTTGCTTTGCAGACGGGTGAAGTAGTGGGTTGGAGGCCGCGTAGGTAGACTTATCAATGGTACCATTGGTAAGTGGACGATCTGGCTGTGGAGCATGCTTGCTTTGCATCGTTGGTACGGTGATCGGATTGACAGGTTTGGGTGTTAATTGAGGATGACTGGCGATCGATGGTGAGTCGGGCAAGACTGTGGCGGGGGAGGCTAGTCCAGCTTGAGTGCGTAGCTGCCAAAAATCGTCGACGCCGTTGACAGGCACTGCAAGAGCCTTCAGATGAGTCATGATCGCATCACGGTTCCGGATCCCTAATGATTCAAATGCAACCATTAGAACATTGGTCGCTTGAGGCTCTGCCGCAAGCATGGCTAAGATCATCTTAGTCAGCACAGGATCCAATGCTCCGTCGTTAAAAGGCGCGGCGCTATTTAGGTAGTTTGCGTGGATCGACCCTTGGTAAACCTGTGGGCTGGCTGACTGCGAAATGGCATTTGAAGACTCAGAATTAACTGTACACGAGTCGAATTGCTTCGGTGTTGCAACTGCAGGGACGTGTGCATTTGCGACAACTGTGCTTGCTGAATCAGATTTCTTAGGTGTACTGTGAAGCATTGGTGTAGATGACAAGGAATTTTGGACAGTCGTCTGATTAAGAGGGGTGGAGACAGCATTGACCTGAGGCTGAGGAGCGGGTGATGCGTTTTGAGGCGTGGTGGTGGCAGTTGGAGTCCCAATGGCGGATGGAGTCAAAAGAGGAGCCAGAACATCCCACAGTTTATTCTTCCTCAGAGTAGCCTCCAACTTGGCTTTCCCAGATGCATCAACACGTCGATATGTATCCACGAATTTCATTTTTTGAGCTACGGTGACATTGAAGATGGGCTGTGGCTCAACAGGCACGTTCCCCGGCGACTGGCTAGATTGCTGCGGACTAGGTTGTATGCTATTACTTTGGACATTCACCGGCAACTGTCCTGGTTGTTGTAGACTAGGTTGTATGTTATTAACTTGTACATTTCCTGGCAACTGACTAAATTGGTGCAGATTAGGTTGTATGCTACTACTCTGATTACTATAAACCAAAGAACTTGACGGAGCGGGCTGAATTGTAGAGCTAGGTCGTGTTGGTGGTAAGGGGGTTATTGCTGGAGAAGCAGGAGTTGGTGGTTTGCCATGAGTCGTATTATTCAGCGTGACCGGAGGAAATGAAAAGGCATTTGACATCTGTTTTTCTGAAGCAATTCTAATCATCCCTAGATTAGTCTGTCGCGAAGAATCAGGTGTAGGAACATTGGAAGGCTTGGCAGGCGGGCTATGCAGTTCAAGCTGGGGTCGAAAAGTGACGATTGGAGGAATGTTAGTCAAACTTAACCCTGGTGGGTTTACATAGGAGGAAACGCTCGGAGGTGTCCATTGAAAAGCGGGCGAAAACTCTATAGGCCTGTAAAAAGAACTCTCGCTGAGAGAGACGACTGGGGTGAGCGGAATTGATTCCAGAAGTTCAGTTACCGCCAAATCAAGGCGACGAAAAGCCCGTTGCCACTTGTCTGCTTGCGCTGGAATCGGAGGATTGGCCGAGAGGCAATTTGGGACGGGTAAAATGCGGGAGACTTTGTCGCGCTCGTTTGCTAAGTGATTAGCCGCTGAGGTAGGTGCTTCGATCCGGTGATTAATGTTTTGAGTGACTCTTGATATTTGACTTTGAGAATCAAGCGAAGGCTGCGGGCCAGTTTTGGGATTGGCAACTTGCGATGAGAGGGTATTGGGGAGAGGCATATGCACTTGAGATGGCTGTAAAGCTGATGAGCTTCCAACTGAAGGCGACAGGAGGGGGCAAGAGGTGACCGGAGCAGCCGAAGACGAGGTTTGTAATAAAGGAAGTTGAACTGTTTTAACAGGGTCGTTAGATGACGAGTTGACGGGGTCTTGCTTATGATTTGTGATTGTTTTCATGCTAGTAGGTTGGCTCGATTCTGATGGGAGTAGATTTGAGCAGATCGTGACTTCTTTTGGATCTTTCGGACCACTGAGGTTGTTTGGGGTCAAATGACTAGGACTTTGCTGTGATAACAAACTTTCTGAAATTCTTGATGACGCAGTTCGACAGCGTTGAGGGAGTGGAGAGGAGCTAGGGATTCTGGCCACAACATGTGAAAATGAGATGGTAGAACTTCGACCGTCAGTAGAAAATTATCAATGAGATTAAATGTAAATGATGAGAACAAACAATTGGCTGTTGACCCCGCTTAAGCTATCCTGCGAACGCTTCCTTTTGCCAGAGTTAGTGATAGGTGAATTTGTAGAGTTCTCAGACCGTCCAGTGAGTTGAGTTAAAGCTTTGCAAGTCCAAATGGATGGCGACCCAGCGAATACAGGGCCAATTGCTTGTTCCAAGGTAGCTCTCCAAGTTTCGATTACGACCGCAAGCTTCTCCTTAATGGACACGTCCGTCTTGTCGGTTGAGACTTTGAGAATATAGAGACAGGCTTTGATTCCAGTGATCGGAAATGGTGGGTAATTAGTCGAGGACTTGCGACAGATCCTCATATAGCGCTCTAGTAGACCAACTTGGACGGATTTATTGTGCGATGTAAGATGATTCTCCAGCAACGAGCGAATTTCTGAGGAAAATAAAAAGAGAAAAAAATGAATGGTCAGAATCAGAAATGGAGACATATTGTGATGTAATGTGAAATTTGTTATTGGAGAATGAAATGAGTGACATGCAGCTGACCTTCTTGACTTTGATGGGTTGTAGAAAGGGAAGAGACATCCGCACCACCGCCAGAGGCTAGCAATTCTGCCAAGTGAATGTTGCTTGCAATTTGCTCTATCGAGGGGTCTTCAGGAAGAGCTTCGGACATTGGCGGTCGGCGAGGAGTGAGCTGTACGAGCGCTGATAAAACTGAAACCAATAGACAAGCGGCGAACGGTTGCGCCGGAATCGAAGATGTTAACCTGAGCGGCGAGGAAAAAAAACGGTTGAATGAGGGCCGATGACGGATCTGATATTTGAACGAGCGGGTTAACACTAACGCAACAAGCTAAATAAGGATAAGGAGAGTATTGAGGAGCCAATTACGGAAACGCGCCGGGCTGAGATGTGATGAGGCTCGCAGTGTATTACGGCCACCAAGGAGGCGACTCGGAAAAGCTACATATAGACAACCAACGGAGGTCAGCTCAGTCCGTCATATTCTGGCATCGAGCTAGTGAGTGCTCACATCCAGTGGCGAGTGTCTGCAATCCAAACGACGGGACCGACAAGTCTATGTTGGATCGCCAGCCAATCTTTCGCTAGTCCTTTACGAAAACAAGAGTAACACGAAAACGTTTCAGTTGTAGTACATTGACACAGAAGCAAGGGAATGGGCAGCTTGACCGACACAGTTCAACTGAGCGGGCCGTTGTTTACCATCTTGACGTCAAACAAAAATACTAAGGCTCACCTGATCTAAGGGTTCTGTAATACTCGAGCGGATGAGTCAGACTAATTCTTTCGGACCGGGTTGCTGCTTTTCTTCTTTTCTTGTTCTTTGTTTTTCTTGCTCTTCTTTGTCCTTTTCCCCCCTTTGGCCCTCTTTTGTACCTTCTCCTTGTCCTGGTATTAAATATGTACAGAGAATGGTGGCAGGATGGAGGTTGATGGGGGGTGTTTCAGAGGCTTTAATACTTGAGGAGGTTTTTGAACAGGGGGTGGTTTATTCTGGATGAATCTCAGTTTCTCAATGCGGATGTATGTGTCATGCATGAATGATGTAAAGATAAATATGTACCCTCCCTGGGTTGGGATGTCCATGTGAGTATGTATTTATATCATGGTAGATTGTCCAGCTGGAGTATCCACACTGGCTCAGTTGCACAGCAATCTTCAGTTTGGGAAAGTGGAAACTGGGTTGTCAAACCCTAACCCCTGATTGGTTACAACCCTAAATTGGAACAACTGAGCCAATTTCCCAAACCTAATGAGCACAAGTTGCAAAGTTCTGGTGATAGAACCAAATACATTCCTCACCAGATTGCACTGATGAAAATGCCTCAATTTCACTTTGGTGATCACATGATGTTTCCTAGTTAGGAGGTTTATGTATCTTGGTTGCAGTAATGGTGGGAACTACACTTTCAGCAGCAATAGGGCAGTTCATGTAGATGTAGTCAAACTTTGTTGGAATGGCTATTTTAAGGTCTATGGGAAAGCAAAAGAGTTTAGCGGGAGGCTCCCCTTTGGAGTCAAAATCCCCCAATTAAAGTTCATGACGTTTGTGCATCAGCAATCAAACCTTGTTCAAGACCACCAAAGGGTTGGCTGCTATGTGAACTGCCCTAATAGCATAGTGTAGTGCAACATTGTGATGCTAACATGTCTTGATACTCTGGTATATAGCTACTTGGGTTATCAAGCTAAAAGGTGATGTTGGCGCAAGAGAAAAAACAGCATGGCTTGAGTGTTCCCAGCTAAATGTTTTGAATCTATGTAGTATCATCTGGGGGCACCACGTGGGTGATACAGGGTGGAATGTGTACAGTTCCAAAAACAATGTCTCCCAATCCACACCTTCCAATCAGCCATGAAACCAATATGAGACACACATTGGTATTGTATTGGGATGCTGATATGATACAGGGTTGTTTTGGTTTATCATGTATTGCCTGGCCTGACACATTATACACTTGCGGATTTAGATGTAATGAGGGGGTAAATACAGTCCAATACTTGATGTTTCAGCAATGAAATGGTGGCATTGCATAGGTGTCAAACACAGCACATTCCACACATCATACAGCCAATCCCAAAAACCTTGCGGTTTTGGGATGGCTGTATCTCCAAAGAATTTCTTTTTTGCCTCTTTTTTTAGTGCCACTATCTCCTGTACATGGCCCTGTGGGCCTGTATGGCCACAGGACCTAACTCCCACATTTTTTGAGTTGGATCATTGCAGTAATCCTCTCCATTTTTTGGTCAGGAGCTGCTCTTCCCATGGGGACTCTGCCCACCCCTGCCTGGCAGCTGGCAGGCATCCGGACCCACACTGAGGCCTTGGCAGCCAAATCAGAACCTGTACCGTTATCCGTACAGGTTGTGAGGCGCAAAAAAATCCTTGGAAATACAGCCATCCCAAAACCACAAGGTTTTTGGGATTGGCTGTATTGGTTGCATTGAGTATTGTGCGCAGCTGGTCGAAACAGTCCCATCACCGTAAGCTATTGGCACATGCAAGTCCCAGTCTCCAATATCAGTGAAGAGAGAGAGAGAAGGAGATCAGAACCAGCAAGCTTAACTAGGCCTCCACGGTGGGAGCGGTAGTGAGCAGTGGTGCTGTCCATGCCAGTGGAGGCTATGCCTTAAGTTGTAAGTCTTGTGTGGCAAAATTTCAGATTTCACCTGAAACCCCATTTTTTGCAGATTTTCTTTATTTCTCAAGCCTCTTCTTCATACCCATCTGTTTGATTTCCTTCTGGGCCCAGAAATGCCTGCTTCTTGTACAGATGTCCCTCTGTTCACTTTTTCTTGTTGTGTTTGCAGACATTGGCTGCCCCAGTATTTGTGATTTGCTATAGGGGGTTTCCCGGGGGGGGCAATTGTGCATCCCAAATTTGTTGAGGGGCACAGGGTTGCAGGGACTGAATTTCACAGACAATGTCTTGTGGCAAGGGAGCTGACACTGAGAGACAAAGTGGTTTGTATTCAATGAGGAGAGAGCTCCTGAATCTGAGATCCGGTGGACTAAATACAAAGCCAAATGCATAACTATAGTGGAAGCATACTGTACTGGATATAAGCATATCCACAATCTCAACACACCCCCTTACTGACAACCATAGTTTTAGTAAGGTAAATGAGATAAAAAATTGACCACTAACAGTAGGTAAGACTGGTGGGGTAAAAAAATCTCAGCTGGGGACAGAAAGAAAATTTGAATCAGGCCAGAGATCCAGAGGTAGTAAGGGACGGGGAAACACCACAACAGTGAATAAGTATCCAAAAAAATCAAACAAATTCGAAGAATTGGCCATCGACTAGCACTGGAGTTGTGTTCATCACAAATAGAATGTTTGTCTGGGTTTCATCCTTTCTAGCCCCAAACGATGTTGCAGCCATTGCCATTGTTCTCTTCATTGTCCAAGTAGTTGCCAAGCATTGTAAACAAGACCGCTCCAGCGCAAGCTTCAGCTGAGGACGCTTTAGCACCCAATTTCTTCTTGAGGGAGGGGTTCAGATGTTTGGACAAGTGGTGGCCCTTCTGGCAACGGTGCAACAGAGACAATACAAGACAGTATCAGACATTTATTTGTATTGTCTCAGAATTTGAATACCCAAAAATACCAGATTTGTGTTGTCTCACTTTCCTGAGACAATACACATGTATCGTCTTTGAAAAGTGAGACAAGTATTCTGTATGGTCTCAGATGACTGATCCCACCAAAAGCCTATTTGATACACAATATATCTGGCCGTATTGAAGAAAAAAGAAAAAAAAACAAAGACATTTTTTTTTTCATTCGTAAATCCGAATCCGAGACAATCAGTTTTTTTCACCAACCAAGAAAATACTGATAGCGGTATCAGGCTCAAAATAAAGACAATACAATCCGATACAAATACATGTCTCATATCTGTTGCACCAACGCTGGGCCAGCTACGCTAACCATAGCGTTAGCGTGGCGTAGCGCAGCGGAAATGCGCTACTTTGTAGCGTAGCGTTAGCAAAAAATCCACCTTTCTTTGCTAACGCTACGCGCAAAGGGCACAAAAGTGCGTTAGCTGTTAGCGTAGCGTTAGCGCAGAAAGTTGGAATTGCGCTAACGCTACGCGCTCAGGGCACAAAAAAGTGCCCGCTACGCCGCGCTACAGGGCTTTTTAGCGGGTTTTTTGCCTTTTTTGCCGCTAAAAGCGCTGTAGCGCAGCGTAACGCAGCGTAGCGGCTGTAGCGATGCGCTAACACTACCCAAAAACATGCTGCCTGTTAGCGGGGCTACAGCGTAGCGGCGGTAGCGGCACGCTAACACTACAGAAAAAAGGGCCTGTTTTTGCGCCGCTACGCTAACACTAAGTGGCCCTTTAGCGTAGCGGCCCAGAGTTGGTTGCACTGTTGCTTCTGGCCACAGCTCAACAACCTAGTTCCGGTTTAGCCTTTGTTGCAGATGCGGAGGCTTCAAAGTGGTCCGTTGAGACCTGAGTTGACACTTTGTGTGATTCCAGAGCACCAATTGCATTGTCTAGAGAGACTTTGTTGGGGGAGTAGACAAGGTGGTCACAAATTGGCTTCCAGGAGTCATTGAGTCCCCAAAGTAGTCTGTCACAAACTTGCTGATTGTTTGGAGTGAGTTTAACACTTGTGAGATCAGAGGCTGTGTTCTGTACCCAAGCAATCCACTTGGCAATAGGAAAATTGGGATCGTGTTTTGCCGACCAGAATGCATCTTCAAGCATCAATTGTCAAGCGCACATATTCTTTTCATGAACCTCACAGATTTGGTCATATAGTTTGCTTGCCAGTTTGATATTGCGGTAACAAATCAACAGATCGACGGAGAGTGTAAGATTGATTGCTGATCAAGCAATATCCAAGAGAGTGTCCCAATTGGTGCGGAACTCTTTAAACTGCCAAGCTAAACTGCCAATCTTAGCTTTGTGGTCTTGTAGTTCTGATAGCATAGAAGGGAAGAGTTTGCACCTCCAATGTCCCCTTCTCCATTCAGCAAAAAGTTTTTCAAAACCACTTTTGAGTCTTACAACGCACACTGTGCAAAAATGTGCTAACATTCAGTGTAGTTTTTTTGACCAATTTGTGGAATCACACAGGGTGCAAAAATGGGCCCGCTTTACTGCGCTAGAGGACTTTTTAGTTGCTTTTTGGTGTTTATTGCCTCTAAACTCTCTACTGTAGTGGTGTGCTAGCTAACACTACACAAAGAAGGGCTACTGTAAGTGCTGCTACACTAACACTAAGTGGCCCTGTAGCATAGTTTACCATAGCATCCCACTGCTGATATTAAATCACCATATATATACACACGCACACACACACATATATATATATATAGGGTCTTGGTTAATCGACTCCCAAAAGTTGGAGAGTTGGCTGCCAAACCCCCAAAACCCCCGAAACTCCCCCGTATTCCCCAAGTATTGGGAGTCGATTCCCCGAACCCGTCAGTGGGTTTGGGAGTCGAATCCTCAAAAATTTTAAATAAAAAAAAAAAGGGGCTTGGTTAAACGACTCCCAAAAAGTGGAGAGCCAACTCCCAAGCCCCAAAATCCCCGACTTTTGGGAGTTGGACCCCCAAAACCTTTGACTGGTTTGGGAGTCGACTCTCCCAAAAAAAAATAACAATCCCCGGTTGGTTTAGGAGTCAATCCTCCAAAACCAACCGGGGATTGTTATTTTTTTTAATATTTTTTTTTGGGAGAGTCGACTCCCAAACCAGTCAAAGGTTTTGGGGGTCCGACTCCCAAAATTTGGGGATTTCGGGGCTTGGGAGTCGGCTCTCCACTTTTTGGGAGTCGTTTAACCAAGCCTCAAAAAAAACCCCCCAGAAGGGGACAGAGTCAATGCCCCAAAACCCAGTGGGTTTTGGGGGTCGGCAAGCCAAAAAGAGCCCTCGATGGCTGGGATGATTCCTCCCAGCCGTCAAGGATGTACACCTTTGACAGCCAAGAGAAAACCTCCTGGCTGTTGAGGATGTACACCTTCGACGACCAAGAGAAACCCTCCCGGCTGTCAAGGATGTACACTCTTGACGGCCAAGAGAAACACTCTTGGCCGTTGAGGGTGTACACTCTCGAAGGCCGAGAGAAACACTCTTGGCCGTTGAGAGTGTACACTCTCAACAACCGGGAGAGAACCTCTCGGCCGTTGAGGGTGTATACTCTTTGCCGTTGAGGGTGTACACTCTTGGCCGTTGAGAGTGTACCTCATGGCCGTTGAGGGTGTACACACTCAACAACCAAGAGTACACTCTCAACGGCCGAGAGTGTACACCCTCAACAGCCAAGAGTGTTTCTCTTGCCAAGAGGTTCTCTCCCGGTCGTTGAGATTGTACAATCTCAACGGCCGAGAGGTTCTCTCTCAGCCGTTGTGGTGAGACCAATCAAGGTCATATATAGTACAAAATAGCTATTTACAGTAGTTTTCATGTTATTACAACCAGATATGCATATGCTACATAACCCTTTATCTTGTATCCAGTTAAGAACATTATAAGATAGTAGGTTTTACACTCATTTGGCTACATAATATATGGTACTACATAGCTACAACATACTACATATCACACACCTAAGAATACAAATCAGTCCTTCCACAGTACATTCCTTCTTTCTATGATAATAATCTTTCAGTAAATATTATTTATTTCATCTCAGATACCACTCAGTCAGACTACATATAATATTTCATCCCATACATCTGCTTTCTCATCCAGATATTGTCATCTCATCTCACTCATCATCCACTTCTTTTCATACATCAATTACTTCATTCTAATTTTATTTTATTCTACATTTATTTCATACTAGAGATGGTCGTGGATAATCCGCCGCGGATATCCGCTATCGGTGCGGATTTGGCTGCGGATGGCTGTTTTTCCGCCCAAACCTGGCGGATATCCGGGTATCCCAAGGGATACCCGGTGCCAAGAGAGGCAACACCGCCGGGAGGAATCCCTCCCAGCAAGCTGGAACACAATCCAGCTCGCCGGGAGGGGTTCCTCCCAACGAGCTGGTGTACATACCAGCTTGCCGGGAGGGATTCCTCCCAAAAAGCTGGGATGAATACCTACTTGTTGGGAGGGGTTTCTCCCGATGAGCTGGGATGAATACCCTCTTGTCGGGAGGGGTTTCTCCCGACAAGCTGGGATGAATACCCTCTTATTGGGAGGGGTTTCTCCTGACAAGAGGGTATATACACCAGCTCGTCGGGAGGAATCCCTCCCGGCAATGAGCTTGACCCACATGATTTGAAGGTAAGACCCTTCATCTGTCTGTCTGGGCTTGGACCTCATGAGAACTATGTCTTAACTTTTTTTTTTCCTTTTGAATTTAGAACCAAGACCAGTATGCCGTCTTGGGATTGTCTTCGTTGCGTTGGAAGGCTACGCCCAATCAAATTAAACGTGCTCATTGAAAGAAAGTCTTGTGTCATCATCCCGATAAGAAAGCTGGACAAGCAGGTAACACAAACGATGACAGTTTTTTCAAGTGCATTTCTAAAGGTACGTCAAAAATTCCACTATTCCTTCTTTTCTTGTTATGATGGAACCACCTAGAAGCACTAAGATAAAACAAAATTACCCTACCAGCTTATGAGACCTGGTCAGACCCAGTGAAGCAACACCAATTTGACTCGGTCAATGAAGAAATTGATGATGGAGACATCCCCTCAGAAAAGGAAGTGAATGCGAGTCCGGAAGCATTCTTCAAGCTCTACAGTCCCGTCTTCGAAAGGGAGGCCGCTTCAGTCTTAAACAGCCTGTGCCCTCGATCGGTGACATCAACAGCACTCGAGAAGAGGTCAAGGAGTTTTATGAAAGTTGGAGGAGCTTTGAATGGAAGGATAAGGATGCAAATGAAGGCTCAGACTCGTGCGTTGAAATCTGTTCACTGGACTCAATAATTAGTGAAGAAGCCACATTTTGTTAACTAACTACTGTATTATTTACACTGGACCGATTGATTCGCAATTCAGACCAATGGAAAAGCGTCACATCAAAAACAAAAACCGATCGGAGCGTGAAAGCCGCAAGAAAGAAGATAACACGCAACAAAGGAATATTGTGGAGACCGCGTATGAAGCGATTTAAGACGGAAGAGCGTCTAGCCCGAGAAGCAAAACGCAAGGGCCCAAATGCCTCAGCCAGCACATCTGATACACTCTCTTCCAAACAGATCAAAGAGAAAGAAGAGAAACCCCTCCCGATGAGAGGGTATTCATTGGTACACAATACAGCTTGCCAGGAGGGATTCCTCCTGACGAGCTGGCCTCTAACTTTTTTTTCTTTTTATTTTGAAAAAAAAACATCTGCCCCCTTAAAAGGGGGTGTATATCTGCGGGTATCCCCGCAGATACCCGCTGTGGTAGTCAAAAATGTGAAGAATTAAAAGTTTTTTTTTCTCTCTTTTCTTATACATATTTTTCTTCATATTATCACCCAATCTCTCTCAGAAATCACACCATACGGCTCAAGAACTGGACTCTACGGACAAATTCACCCTTGGTCACCTTGGAGGTGTCACTGGAACACACCTGGATCAACTCTTACCCAACAATGGACAACATATCACAAGGATTTCATCCATCATTACATTTCACCAATCTCAATTACAACACTCAAGCTACACAGACACCCTCAGTACAGTACAAACCCCATTTACATATACACTCATTTACATACATCTACACTCCTTACATTTCACTTCTACATATTACATAACTCATGCATGCAGACTGAATTAGTGTATTTTCCTTGCATGACAGCTGCAGCTTACACCACCACACTCACTTGTAAACACCACACAACCTGACCAATCAGAATCACTCTTTCAACTGTTTGGCTCACCACTTCAACTCTTGTACATGTCTGACCAATCACATTCACTCATTCAACTTATGTATGTAGCTAAAATACCTCATGTAATAGCCCAGGCCAGCCAAAATCACTCATTACTGGCTGCCCTGGAGCTAAATTCCCTCAATATTTTCTATATAAGGAGGCTCTCCTCCAAGGATGTAACAGATCCGATCCCCGATAAATACCGATCCGGGGATCGGATTGCTTACAGTTTGGATGATACCCAAGTGTAAGGCATACAGCCCGCAGCATTTGGGTGCCGGATCGGGATTGCAATGCGATACCAATCCCGATCCGATACCATTTCAATACGATACATGGGATCGGATCACCCTTAGTGATCCGATCCCTTATTTTTCGATACCTGGTATCAAAAAATTGATCCGATCCGATAAATCGGCCGATACCGTATCGGATCAGATCTGTTTCACCCCTCCCAGTTGTTGTCTCCTCAGTGTATTATTCACAAGTCACAGTTTAGTACCACTCAATCAAAGATACACCACCTTTACAGAACCTTAACAAACACCAATAACAACTAAACTCATTTCTCAGCATCACACAAACTCATTCCTGAACTTACCCTATCACTTGATTAAAACTTGCCAAGCTGAGCTTGGTGGGTCTTGTTATCTGATAGTATAGAAGGGCAGAGCTTGCACCTCCACCATCCCCTTCTCCATTCAGCAAAAAGGGTCTTACAACCACTTTTTGAGTCTTACACCGCCAGCGGATGTGGATGCGGATGCAGATGTCCAATTCCGCTGAAATGGTGAGTGGATATCCGAATCCAAATGGATATCCGGATGTGCCGCGCCCATCTCTATTTCATACTACATTTCTTTCATATGTCCGCGCCCATCTCTATTTCATACTACATTTCTTTCATATATCCGCGCCCATCTCTATTTCATACTACATTTCTTTCATATATCCATCTCATTTCAACTCATTACTCATTGCTTATATCACCTACATATATATTTCACCACACAGATTTCTCATCTCACCTCAGAATATTTATTTCAGTCCTTATTATCTCATTTCTTTTGCACTACATATTATTTTTATTGCAAACAGAAGTTAATTCGTGTTTATTTCACACTAAAACTTTGTCAGCCACATTTATTTCATAACCACTTGTCTTTCAGATACAACTTATTTCATACCATCTTCTTATTTCAGCTGATATCTGACCACTAGTACCTGATCAGAACCACCCACATGTATATAAAGAATACTCTTTACCACTTACTTTGTTCCCCATGCTTGCATTAGAGAAGTAAACAGATAATTACTTAGCAGACATCACTTACTAGTAGTTACCAGAAGTAATTATTATTGATTTTCCCCCAGAAGATAAGAAATTGAACCCAGAAACCATAATTCACCAGAGCCTCATCCTTACCAGAATCCCCCACATCCTCAATCTCTCAGCAGGTGACTTGTACAAGACATCAGTAATAAATCTCATACTAAGATTACCCACAGAAATAGCCAAACCTTTTCTTTAATTCTTAGTGTAACTCTCTCCCAAGCCTTGACAAGAGGGCAGCTTCATCAGCATCCAAGTCTTCAACAAACATTTTCCCCTGTGTTGTTGTTATTTTCCCCTCTAAGCTCTTTTCTTTAGCTTGAAGAGTGTACACCCTCAACGGCCAAGAGTGTTTCTCTTGGCCGTTGAGAGTGTACATCCTTGATGACCGGGAGGGTTCCTCTCGGACATCAAAGGTGTACATCCTCGACGGCCGGGAGGGTTTCTCTCGGCCGTCAAAGGTGTACATCCTTGACGGCCGGGAGGAATCATCCCAGCCATCAAGGGCTCTTTTTGGCTCGCCACCCCCAAAACCCACTGGGTTTTGGGGCATCGACTCCGTCCCCCTCCGGGGGTTTTGTTTTTTTATTTAAAATTTTTGAGGATTCGACTCCCAAACCCGCTGACGGGTTTGGGGAATTGAATCCCAATACTTGGGGAATACGGGGGAGTTTTGGGGGTTTTGGGGGTTTGGGAGTCGACTCTCCAACTTTTGTGAGTTGATTAACCAAGCCCCTATATACATAATTACACTATTTTTCTTTTCCCCAAGGTTTTTGGAGTTGATCCTCTAAAACCTACAGTGGGTTTGGGAGGAAACAAACCAATTCTTTTTTTATAAAAAAACCTAAAATTCCCTGATCAATTGAGCAGTTGTTGGAATTTCACTCGACCTCTCTTTCTGTTTTCTTGTACTTCAATATCATGTCACTCTTTTGTTATTAAGTCAAGAATGATTTTTATTTATGCATATTCATTATGCATCAGTTACTGCTCCCACAACTTGATAATCTTGTATCTAGATTATTTAAAGACCCTTAGAAATCTAGGAATCCAATCATCAGTCTTAAATATTTTGATCTGGTCCCAAGAGCAAACTTTAGCCTCCTCTTAGCTTATTTCAATCACACTTTAGCCCGATTGATTAAGTATCAAATAGCATAAAATGGAATCTTTCCACTCTCAAATTTGTCAAACTTTTCCCCAATTCACCCTCTTATTGCTTTATAATCAATCAATCCTCCAAAACCAACCAGTGTTTTGGGCATCAGTGCCCAAGCTCTGTGCTGAGAGAGATTCTTTTAAACAGCTGAGACGGTACACTCTTGGCCTTGCAGAGGCATCCTCTTGGTGGCCAAGAGTGTACACTCTCAGCAGCCATGAGGATTCACTCTTGATCTTTGAGAGGAGTCCTCTTGGCGGCTGAGAATGGCTGATAGTGTGAACCCTCAGCTTCCAACAGTGAATAATCTTGTCTGCTGAGAATGTATCCCCTTAGCCATTGAGAAAAATATGTACACTCTCTATTAGAATACTCATATATGCTTATACACATACTCAGTATGCTTCTACTATAGTTGTATTTGTGGCCTTGTATTTACTCTGACTCATGCTTGGTTCCAAATCTGTTTCCTTAATAAATAAAAACCATAAGTTTCTATGTGTCACCAAACTGTCACAAGACTTTGTCTGTGACCTCAGTCCTGCATGCAACCCTGTGCCCCTCAACACTCTAAAACTTGGAGAGGCATCCTATCAATGACCAAGGTTGTAGACTCCTCTCAACAGCTGAGAGGGTAAATGCTTGGCCTTAGAGAGGGATCTTCTCTGCAGCCAAGAGGAATCCTCTCCGCAGCTAAGAGTGTACACTAATCAATCAAGAGTAAGCCTCCTGGCCTTTGAGAGTTTAAACTCTTGACAGCCAGGGGCTGGGAGGCACTTGGCTAGTGAGAGTGTATCTGAATCTCAACAGCTGAGAGGAAACCTATTAGTTTTCAAGAGTGTATAATCTCAACGGCCAAGATGTTCCCAGTCAACAACCAAGAGGGAATCCTCTTGGTTGTTGAGAGTAAACTCTCTCCTGGCCATCAAGGTGTTGAGGCTTGTAGGTGATGACTGCCATATTTGCACCAGAGTTTTTGGGACACAGACTACCATGCCCTCCAGGGGCTTGATGATTTTGTTTGTTATTTTTTTTGAACTTCCACTCTGATTCCCACACTAGAAAAAATATTGGGTCACATTTTCCCCAGCTGCAATAGCATGGCCTAGTGGGGTGCAATGTTATTGCGCCTGGGGAAAATGCAACCCAATACTGTTCATTCAAGGTGAGAAGTGTTAGATTGCATGATCCACAGGCGCAATAACATTGCTCAGTGGGGTGTGATGTTATTGTGCCTATGGATCATATGATCCAACACTTTTTCTAGTGCCACTGTGGGAATAGGAGGGACAACTCCCAAATGAAAGGGGGATCACAATTTAGGGGGCAGGGTCATCCTGAGAAGTTCCCCAGGATGTCCCAGGAGTTTGGCAGGCCATTCTCCAATTTTTGGAATTTGATTAAACAAGCCCCTATTTTTCAAATGCAATGGCCTGAGACAGTTGGATAACCAAGTTAGAGATGGCCCAGCGGGTCTGATTTACATGAAACCTACTTCAAAGTGCTTATAATCAAAGAACATCAATATGTAACACTTTCATCCCATCAAATACCACTTGGACTTGAGTAAGACACTCACCTGGGTGCATAGGATGGCACTGGTCACCTGGTGAGAGTATAGATGACAAATAACTGATATGATATCAACAGGTATAAAGGCATCTGTACTTGTACAGGTGTCTTCCTAGACAGTGTTGAGTTAGCTGTTTCCTTCATCTGCTTCATTCCTGTTTCTCATATGTCACAGTCTGTGACACCTGTCTGTGTAGTTACCTCAGGCCATCAAGGTGGATGAATGGTTTCCTCATCCTTCCATTCATCCATCATTGCTGGACCCAGTTGGTCGCAACAGACAGTTATCTTAGTGTCTTCCTCAATTAAGTGGTACTCAATGAGATGAAAGTGTTACATATTGATTTTCTTTGATCACAATCACTTTGAACCAGGTTCTATAGAAATCAGACAGGTACCTGCTGTGCCATCTCTAAGCCAATTTTTGGGCCCTAGTGAGTGCTTTACCAATTTGAGAAAAAGACCTGGGAATTGAGTTGTTTTTGAATTTCTTGGAATTCTCCTGGGACCATGGCTCCCTCACAGAGGATTAATCCTACTAATTGGGTGTGAAACCTTGATCCAAAGGCTTCACAACACTACAAGCAATACCTATTATGCCTCAAGGATAGATAGCAATTTGGGTGGGGGAAAACGGGTCAATTTCCTGGCACTTTGTTTTACAAAGTACCTCAGAAGTAGAAATGAGGCTAAAATGAGGCTAAAATGAGCTATTTTAGCCCAAAAGTGAAAGTGCCTCAAACATTCCAAAATTAATTTGTAGCTGATTTGAGGCATTTTGTTTTGGCTAAAATAGCTCATTTTTACTCCTGAGACATTTGGTAAAAAAAGTGCCAGGAAATTGATCTATTTTGCACCACCCAAATTCCCATTTTCCTTAGGCTGAAATAGGTACTGTTTGCAGTGTGCAAGAACATCACATAATCAATAGCTCAGCAAATACTTCAACACTCACTGCCCCACCCCCCTCCTAGCTTAGCAGGGACTTGACTTCACTATTGATTCTGCTGAGCTAGCAATTCCAAAACACTTTGGTTCTAGAAAAGTCTCTGTCATTGCCCCAACAATCCATTATCCAGGTTCCATCCATAAGAGCTCAGTGACAGGATTAAACACTCAAATTGGGTAGGTAGAGACTTGACTGAACCACACTGAATTTGGTCATGGTTTACTCCACTCAATGGCCAGTTCAGTGCTTGCTCTACAAGTCTACTTGAACAGACTGGCTATAAGTGGAGATTGAACCCTTCTTGAGGACCAGTACATACTCCACTTGTTAGATCAGTCATTGAGTGGAGCAATGGCCAGCCTATATCAAATAGTGAGCCAGCTCTGTGTTGGAAGGTGATTGGGACACATTTACCCACAACATTGTCCTAATAAACTTATATGTGTATCTGAGCTTTGCCTGTGTTGACATTTATGTCTCTTGTCACTTCTATTAACACACCAGCATTGTCTGGTGGACACAAACCAAATTTCTACTCATCTTTCTGTTTTTCTTTTCTGTTAAAAACAAGATTCTGATCAAAGACTAAAAAAGAGGAAAAGAAAAAAAGAGGGACCTTTAGAGACATGAAGAAAAATTAATAGAGAGAAGAGGAGGAAGAAGAATGTATGTAAGAGGGAGTGAGTGATTTAGATCAGGAGCGAGGTGAAAGAGGAAGAAGAAGGGTTTAAAAGCCAGCAGCGCCGGGGGCGTTTTGGCCATCACGTTTCAAGTTGAGCAAGATCTCCTTAAAGCGAGCGAGATCCTTGGCAGATTTCCCGCAAGTCTTCGAGCGAGAGTCCTGTAACTCGATCAACTCTGCAATCCGTTCCCATGTCGTACCTTGTGCAAGTTTGTCGCTCCTGGATTGTATGAATTTCGCCTCTTCCTCTCTATATCATCCAGTCCCCCCGAAAAAAAAAAATTAGTTAGATATGTGACCAGTCATTCGATCCGATTAGACCATGAAGATATAAAATAGGTATTTTTCTACAGATCAATACTGACTTATTCTTGGCAATGTTTTTTTGTTTCTCGGTGTTATAACCATGGTAGAACTCGTCGATCGCCTTCTCGGCCGCCACGATAGTTTCTTCACGTTTAGCCGCACTTCGTTCATCGCGCACTCGGATCTCTTCCGCCTGATTAGTTCGCCATTCCCTACCAAGAGCGTCAAGGAGCCGGTCAATGAAGCTGCACTTGGGGGTCTCTTTTCGCTGTTTTTTTCGGAAGAAGAGAACGATAACTCACTTAATGAATGGCGATTCTTCTTCTGTCTGCGTCTGGGCATATACCGCTGGAGTGGCATAGGCTGATGATTGATTTGCATAGAGTGAAGGTGCTGGTGCGTCGAATCCGTTCTGTGATCGTTCAAAATCGATAAAAAGGAACGGGGGTAGAGATCATGTGAGTGATCGGGTTGTTAGAGGGAGATTAAACAGATTTGATGACCAGATGGCTGGCAAGTAACACGAAGAAGCGGCGGTAGACAGACGCGAAAAGCCAAGAAAAACGAAGAAAGAAGTATTACTGACGGTTTGATCAGGGATATCATGGCTGATATCAGGATACTGGTCCTGGAAGGATGCCAGTTCATCAGGGGCACCGGTGGTGGAGACAGGAGGAGGGGCGGCGGGTTGAGGGTGGTGATCGATGGGGGCAGAAGAGAAATCGCCTAGGCCGAACTGATCATCATCGTCCTGCTTGACCTGTATTGTCTCTTGGTAGTTCTCTGGTGGTGCTCCGAATTCATCACCGAGCAGGGCCCGTTCTCGTGCCAGAAAGTCCGCCTGTGGATCGTTCGAAGCTGCCACGTTCGAGAAATCTTCGAGTTCAGGGAAGTCTGACATTTTGATTCTGTGCTGTGTTGGTCAGACCGTCTCCACTTCTGTAGGATGAGAGCCTCTTGAGAAAACTGCCTGGCAAGATCCAGAGAATGCTATGTTGACTGAGCAGGCCTGGACCACATGGGCAACAAGAAGTCAGTTAGGCTGCATGTAAGCTGAACTCGGGAAGTTGATGGAGCTTACGAAGGAAATCTTGCGCAGATAGAAACTGCTTGATCGTCTTTCTGTTATCTTGTTGATGGTTTCTTCCTTGTGTGTATTGGCTGGCCGACAAGGATGGCTTGGTCATCAATTGAACCAACTTTCCCCCGGGTAACGTCATGCTTGGCTCCCCGACACCCCGGAGGAGGCTCGGTCTTCGTGTTCTTGAGATCAGACGCCGCCCCCGTCCAGTTCCATAAACCCTCTCGCCGCCGTGGACTTGCTCACGAAAAACCGTCGATCTCCCCAAAGTCATCGAAGCCCAGTGCTACTACATAATTCATCAGTCAGTATCCCCTCCTTGTATTTCGGAATAAGCCTATGTGCGTTGTTCAGTATGTTGATGACTGATGAATCATAATGATAACAATTCGGTAGTGCCGATGCCATGGGAAACCTTCATACCCCTCGGTAAATATACAGTGATCGATCTCGTCGTCGAAATGGACTGGGGAAACGAACACTGAGAGAATTTTTATTGTATCTATATACACAGGTCTCTTGACAGTGATGTTTGGAGCCTCCGGAACCCTACTGAACGCCGCTCGCAGATTTCAAAATGATGGCAAGGTGAATCAGTCTCTCTCCATAGAAAAAAAAAAGATAAGATAGTCGAACCAACTCCTACATCATTCATCACTTGCAATTTCCACAGCCTCCGGATTACACTGTCGACAAGTGGGATGAAATGATGCAAGAAAGAAACCGAAGATTGACTGGTAGTCTTCGAGGGCAATGTGTGAGTGTTACGACTGAATTCAGTTTTTCATGAACTCAACCCAAGCTCTTGGCACCCATGTGGCCATTCTTCATGTCTGTCTAACCATCCTGCTGTTTTTCACCAGGTCGAGGAAAAAGCACCACTCGAATTTCAAACAAGTTCTGCCTGGCCGGTGGAGAAGGTCGTATGAGATCAATCAATCGATCGCCATCATCGCTTGTTTTCTCATCAATTCTCTCAGTTGTATATCGCATAGATCACAACCTAGCAATTCTACCTTGTAAAAAGTTGTTGGTGTCGTCTTGCGTCAAAAAAGAATGTGAGAGCCTATGGTGTAGGATTGTAATTGGAGACAAGGAGAAAATACTGCTAAAAAAACTCAGGTCCTAATTTAGGAGTGCAATGTAACCCTCTAAATTTAGTACAAGGCTATCAATGGGTGACTCAAGCAAGCGAAATGGGAAAGACCGCCCTTTCCTTAGCACAATGATGGATAAACATTTTGAACATCTTGATGATTCCAAATGACATCTTTTGCTACATTTTCCTGCTGGCCAGAGTATGTAACAAAGATTGACAAAATGCCCATTGATTGAAGCCATTTGTTGAGAACAATCTAAGGATCATTGGTAATGCAGCCTTGAGGAAATGAAAAAAATGTCCAAATGGTCACATATTTTGATCCAAATCAGCCTGTAGCCAGCAGTGGGCTGTTGAGCTATGCTGCACTACATGTTCACTTATGACAACAGTGTCTCAAGTCTGGTGTTCATGGTGAGACTAAGTATGCATTTGAAATGTGAGTTCAGATAGTGGACAAGGACAAATAAAAGGGAAAACTGGTCAGCTATTTGGGATCCGGATGACTGTGTGAGGCAAGTAAGTTAATGGGGAGATTTAGTATGTTATGAGGAATAGACTGGTGCAAGTGATAATATATTGGAAGTGGACCACAAGGATCTTTCTGCATTACAACAGTGGTTAAAATCTCTTCATCCTTCAATGTATCTTTCTCTGGTCAAGCACTAGACTTGTTGGGATGTTGAGTTTGAGATTTAGATACATTTGCAGAATCTACCTTCATTGGTTTCACTGGCCTTGGCTTGGCCCTTAGGTCCAAGTTCTCACTGTGGAGCTTGATGATGTTTGGGATATTGGAGGAAGATTTGCAGGTAAAGTGCCAGTTGCAACTTTTGTGGGTGAAATACTTGACCCCCAAGTCAGAATGTAGAGTCAGCTAGCTATTGAAACAAGTTGAACTTGTTACACATTATTTTCAGGGGGGTGTGAAGCTGCTAGGAAAGGGGAGTGGACCAGACTGACTAATTTGATGGCCACTGGTAACTGCAGAAGAATAAACCTGAAAGTCAAACTTGAAAGGGGAGTTGCAGTTAAAGACTTACTAACAAAACAGCTACATGAGAGTTCATCTCAAAGTCAGTGAATTTCCCCACAATCTGAACTATAGAGCATGAGTTTTGAAAAAACCCTTGGTGCTGGGTACCAAATGCTAACAAACCAAGCAATGAATCCACCCCAGAGATAAGAGTTGGAAGGATCTAGTGGGTTGGAGCATCATGGCATCTGCTTGACTATCCCAAATGATCAAGTGCAATGGTGAGCTCAAGAAAGCTAGGTCTGTCATCATTTGAAGGGATGATCTCTTGAATCTGAAGGTTAATGCCAAAATTTGTTTTGGAACCTTCTGCAATGAGCAAACCCTTCCTCCCAGTGAGAATGTTATTTGAAGCGGTAATTATGTTGGTAGCAAGGTTGAGTTCAAATTCAGTGATGTTGAGGATGGAGCACCCCCCCACATTATAAATACTGGGTATGTTCAGGTTTTCATTCTGATTGGTATAGAATCAGAAATAGACTTTGCAGTGATCGTGCAAAAGCTTGCGGAATTTTTTGGTGCGCAATTCTTTTTCCCCCCGAGTTTTTTCCCCCGGCCCTGCCTACCCTTACCCCGCATCGATCACGGGGGGGTGAGCTCAAGTCCGATCGGCGATCAGCCAACTCCGATCGCAACCCTCCAACCCAGAACCACGTTGAATTTCTCAGATATCCACTGAAAGATGTAATAGTCACTCACACCCTCCCATCTCCGAAATAATCGGATTGTATCACCATACCAGCACGCTCAAGACTCAGAAAGACCACCCACTTCAGACCACATCAATACATATAACACAATGCGCATCGATTTCAAGCTACTGAGCTGCGACCCACTCACACCACCCAGCTCACCACCACTTGATCCAGAAAAGGATACCAATCAGAAAGCCAGAGAAAAACAACTCAAGCCACCCTCCCCATCGGACCAGGATACGAAACTAGCCCAAGTACTGGATGTAGAAGCCATTCCGATCAGCGAGCCCGCTACGTTCTCCCTCCCTAAGCCGGTCTTCGACAATTGGTTCCCCTATGGATATGACAGACCACTCAAACAGAACTACAAGACACCCACTCCGATCACCTCATTCTCGTATGACCAGGATGCCAAGATTCGATGTGGCCTTGACCAGTTCGTATCCCTCAGGCCTTTCCTCGAAAGCGCCAAGCATATTGGCTTCGATCTTAACACCGGGATCGACGAGGCTGAATATGTAGATGAACTTCAGAAAGCGGTGGATAGAGGTATCGATGGACTTTTGCTAAGGTTCTATTCTCTCTCCCCACCCTCTTTTTCTGACTTCAAGAACAATCATTATTGAAAGCCCTCACATAATACTCTGGGTCTAACACCTTTCGGCAATCATATTCTACATGAATAAAATAGCCTGGCAGATTTTCTGGACAGAAGCCACCCTGACCATCAAATCAGCATATCTCGAGAGATCTTATCAACTGAGCTGATCACCTGGCGATCCACCCTAGCCAAGCTTACATTGACCGCATACGAGACTACGCCGACCGGACGAAATCCATCGGGAATCTGGACGAAGCGGGTGATGATGGTAGACGGGACGATCTATATAGAAGATGAAACTGGAATCGAGGATGTGGAAAACCTTGACGAGCTCATGGACCGCGGTTATGTCGAGGAAGGAGGGGTCATCCAACCTTCTCATGATTGGGCCGTCCAAATTTATCATGGATACAGCTATCAAAGTCTGCTGACCAACCAGGAATTCCAGCCGGTTAATAGGAAACCTCGATGGATCTCAGTCGTCCGTTCTAATCTTAACGGCATCCCAATCATCCTTGGTGGAGAAGTAGATTGTGTCAGCTCTGAATGCTTTCAAGAAATACAGACCCCGGATCCGACCAATCATCATGATCATCAAGAGGCCGTGGATGATAATCATCATGTGGTTCAAAAAGTCGTCCCACCCGATCAGACCATTGAACTCAAAACTTTCATCCTGCCCTCTACCACTCGCCAGTACGCCCATCTATACCGATACAAGATGCTCAAATTTTGGCTCCAATCTTGTTGGTCACTTTCCTTCTTATTGTGCTGGACAATCACTTTTATCTTGCATTTGATGATGACGAAGATGGCATGAAAAAAGAAGGCGCGTGTACCAAGGAAGGGCAAAGAAATTGACAGCCGTTTTTTTATTTATTTTTACCACATGCAGTTCTCATGGGAACGCCTAAGGTGCATGTAGGATTCAGGATCCGCGAAGGGATTCTCGACAGGTCCACAACATACCAGACGAATGAGATACCGGAGTTAGTTAACCGAAACGCCAAGCCATGCTGTCGATGGTCAGGTGAGGTATGTCTGCAAAATGGCACCAAGATCGTCCAGTTCATCCAAGACAAGCTCGCTCCAACAGTCAAAGGTAAACCCAGCCTTCAACGGCCCGACCAAGCTCGACAAGCTTATAGGAAGAATACAAATCCTATTTGGCAAGCTAGAAAGAATACAAATCCTACTCCTACTTCCAGTACTACTACTAGTCAAGCTTATCCGAATCGATCCAAGTTCTTCCAAGACCGACTGGACGCAATCGTTGCCGAAGAATTCGAGCGTCAAGTGAACGTCCGGCGCGAAGACTCGGGCCTTCGCCAATCCGGATCGTGTCGGCTATCCGAACTCTGTAAGGCGCAAGTGCGCGACCTCGACCGTTGGCCGGCTTATCGCTTGGCCTTCCATCCGTACCTCGGCCGCAAAGATCCCCACTCTCATGATCAAGCGCACCCCCCCAGTTGCTTCGAGCTTGTCGAACTCTCCTTTGATGAAGTATCCAAATCGATCCTCAGCAATAAACCTAAGAATTTATTCGATGATGGAAATCCATCATCGTTGTCCTCATCATCAACTGATGTTTCAACCGATCATCAGGATCAGGAAATAACCGACCGTGAACAAGACCGTTCATCTGCCCATAGGGTCGGCTTTCTTCCCCTTTTTTGGGTCCAACGAGTGGTCCAGATGCGGCTCGACGTATTGCTATCGAAGCATAATATGTGATGTATATCTCAAACCTTGACAAGAGGGTCTTTCCTTTTTTTTAAGCCCCCTCCAAATGTTGTGCGGGTATTCTTGATATTCTTCTTGTATTTTTGTATTTGTATCTGTATCATGTATACCAACACACGCTTAATACACGTACTGTACCAACACCTGCTAGTTTTTTTTTTCTTTTTTCCCCATTCATACACGAGGGAAACAAATGTCAAATGATTGTTATATTCCCCTTTTTTGTTGTATGTAATAATCAGAGTGGATGGGACTGCTATGTATCAACACATTCTCCTTATGGATTCTTCTATGTATCCTATGAAATACCAGCTTTGAATGCCCAAATAAAGTGCTTTTTTGTGAGAGCCCTAGAGGTTTAACCCTCTCAGTTGATGTGCTTTTCAAGAGTAAGGTTTTTAAAATTATGTCTGTTTCACATGTCTAATTCCGCAACAGCAGCCTTTATGGGGATTTGACAGGTTTCAATGATCAGAGGGCCTTCAAAATCTTGTAATGTGTTCTTTGAGGTTAGCATATGTGTACCAGACAAGCTTCCAGTCCCACCTGGACAAGTGATCATGCAGAAGCTTCCTAAGCCTTGCAGAACTTGAGCTTTTATAACTCCTTGCAACCAATAGTTGGGTGATCAAGGATCTAGTCTAAGGCTCTCATGTGTACCCACAGTGTCCTCCTCTCAGTTGCTTATGATCACTTTTTTTTTCACTGGCCAAGTGAATTTCACAAATTCTTCTCTGCAAGACATATCCAAGTATACTAAATCCAGTGATTTGTACAAAACTGATTCAAGGGTTTCCCCTTACAAATGCTTAGGAAGGAAAAAAAAAGAGCCAGGGTTTCCCCTTTGAAGAAAGAAAAAAAAGACATGACTTGCCACACACCATTAAAAAAAGAGAGGAATTGAAAGAGATTTATTCTGTGAGGTGTTAAGTTTAAAGCTGAGTCTTGAGTATCCTGAGACTTTGAATCCTGAATTCAATTGTCATAACACCACATCTCCTACATATATCTATCAGGCTTTCCTTGATTTTCCAACTTTCCCCAACTGAAAAAATCCTTTGCACTAAAGATGGCCCCTCACACTGGTCACTCAGGGGTTTGATGTAAGCCTACAGGTTCATGGATATGTACTTCTATAACACTCCAGCGGAAGAGGTCAAAATTTACCATTCTCTACACAGCACATTTGTGTGAAATTGATACTGCACTTGTACAGATCACACTGCAGTGACATAAGCACATTTTTCACCACCTTGTGTTTCTCTTACACACACTTCTGCCATCAAAAGTGTGTGTAATATCCGATATTTGTTGAAAGGTACCTTTTAGGGCATTGCAGGGATCTAGCTCTGAACAAAAAAGTGGTGGTGCAGAACACTTACATTTTTTTCCCTTTAATAACCGCAATGTATTTCTGTTTTGCATTTATTTAGGTGAGTGTAGTACCAAAACGTTTGCAAACACTTCCAACAAAAACAAAAGAGGCAAAACACTAAGTGGGTGTTGTGTTTTCAGCTGCTCCAGATTAGTGTCATTTGAAGATGAAGTTCATTGCCAATACTCATTGTAGCAGTAGCAGAACTGCTTGGCAAACTGTTTCCTCCATCAAAAACGCAAGGATAAGTTCTGTATTAAAAAAAAACTAACTGCTGGATGTGTTCCTGGTTAATTTTAATTTAATCCTGTGGGCTGAAGAGGAATTCTTGAGCTGGTGTTTTGCCTCACAAAACTTGCCAAAAAAGATTATGCCAAGTATTCCTGACAAACCAGGAAAACCATTCAGTGCAAAAAGAAATACTTGTATTAGTAAACATTTTCTGTGAAAAGTCTAACAACACCATCTATTTTTGAGAATTTGTATTTGGATTGTTAAAAATTCCCACCTTGACCATCTTCAAGTGTGTCAGCTTTCTAATATGGGAGTTTGAAAGGATACCTTCAAATCACAGAGAGAGCAGATACTTACTTTGGATGCACATACTCTTTCATAGATCTTTTGTCACATCAAAAATTAAGTATACATAACCTTGTTTGACCTGGAGCTTTGAGTAGGACCACCCTAATGTAGACAAAATCCCTCCTTTTTGGTATCTTAAACTTAAAATCTGATTTTTCAACTGGAAGGGATGCCATCAGAAAAGTCAATTGTTCTAATTGACTCCTGAGAGTCTATCCAGGTTCTATGTAAACCTTTTGAATTTAAGGAATGTAGAGGATACCATATTTTAACATCTCCTGGTCACTACTTTCAGATAAATAAAATTTCTCATGTCCTCTATTACATGAGTAGAAAATATCTTAAGGGCATCATTTTTAATACTCCTAAACCTGTGTATACTTGCTTCATGATTATATTTACATTTCTTTGCCTTCAAGGCCCCCCAATCCATTTACTTGGTCATCTAAGGATCATACATGCTTGCTAATTATTTTGGACCATGAGCTGACCTGACTACTTTGAAGCCCCCCCCCCCTCAAAAGTGTTCCCGTGTTCCAAATACCAATTTATCCCAGTCCTTCTTAATGTTGGATGTATTTAACAAACTAGTGATTATTCTTGAGAGTGATTCAAGTGTGGATATTTTTAGTACTGAGTTTGAGTTGCACCACAAAGTAGTAGGTTTTTGATGCTCTTTTCATACTTCCTTTTGCATATACAGTGAAGGCTTTTTCTGATATATTACTGTAATTTTTGGTGGTGATTACCCCTCAAATGAAATCTGACATTAGTTTCAGCATGGAATACTATGTCTAAGCTCTTTCCCAGCAGTTATATTTTTGAAAGAAAGAAATTTACTTCAGATTGTACCAGCTTAAATAACCTTTTATTTTAAAGAATATTTTGAATCTACTGAAAATTACTCAATTAAGCTGTCTTCTTGAAAAATTTGAAAAATTGGCTCCTGTCAATTGCATCTTCTCAGTGTCTTTAGATTAAATCAATATTAATATTCAAGTTTGTCACAATCCTCACTCAACTTCAAAAACAGCAATATCACACACTAATGACAGGCTCATGTTTCAGTTTTTCAACATCCATATAATAATCCATCAGGAAAAGTCCATTTGCTCTAGAATTGAGGTCATTTTTTATGTTTTAATGTAGGTAACTTCTAATCCAATTACATCACTCCTTTTACAGAATTCAAGGCCATATTAATTTTCCTTTCATTCACAATACTACAACTTGATATCAGGAGCCATATGGTTAATTTGGCCCTCACCCCACATCAATTTGTTTCTGGACAAGAATTTTAACCAAATATATCTTATTCATATGAAAATAAATCTCAAATTAATCAGGGTCACAGAATATTTAATCTTTTTTGACCTGTACTGTTGTTTGAATGAATATCATGATAAAACAAAACTGTGTGATTCTAACATAAAGCAATTCTGTGATTTTTTCCTTGCACTAGGGGTTTTTTTAAGGATTATTTCCCATGGATTTAGCTTTCATTTCAAAAAGATACACATGAGTTCAATTGAATAACAAATGCAGTAAAAAATGTGATACACCTATATCTGGTATTCAACTCAGCAGTCTCCATGATCCAACAAACTTGTCTAAAAAAACGAATGAAAATGAAATGAAAATTGGAGCTGCCCTATATTTCTGAATCAACCTGTTTCCAATAAAATTGATAAATTTAATTGATCTCCTGCACCTGTTGCGATTTTGAAATTGAAATTTACTTGAATTTTCTGTCCTGAAAGTTAAATGAGAGAAAGGTCCTACTCCTGGTAGAAAATTTTTGAGAAGCCCTTTATATTTGTTTTTATGATATCTTGACTATGATGAAAAAATCATTCAATTCATTGTATAAGAGCCCTTGTTTATCCAACCTTTTTGGTTGATTTTTTCACCACAATACAAGCTCACAAAACTCAATGTTTACATAATTCAATGATGGGGGGCCTGGGTTGGAAATTTTGCATGTTTAAGTTCTTATCTCCACTAAATACACTGATGTGTGCTATATTGAATTCTTTGATATCTGGTTTGACATGTGGCTATGAATTTTGAGAAAAATGTGTAATCAGGCAGTTTTTGTCTGAAATCCACAACCAAAATTCTGGAAATAATTTCTTTCCTCTCTCTTATTTGGAATTTGAGAAAGTGTTAATTCAATCAGGTATGTTTGATAAATTTCAGTAGATTTATCAATATTCTGTGTGTGCATTGGGGGGAGGAGGGGTGGCTCAGGGTGAGAGACATTAGATTCCTAATTTTTGAATTGTATTTCCCCATACGTGCTTAAATCAACAAGACACCACTGACCTATTTATTTCTTGTTCCAAGTAAATCCTTTCATGTGAATCAAAAGATCATCTTAATTTCCATTGGAAATATATAGTTTGACTGGAAAAATCTACTTTGGACTTTACCTTGAGTATGAGTGATGTCAGGACATTAATTCAAGTGTTGCAGAAGTGTTTTGCAGATAGTGGCAATATTGAATTCAAATAAAGGTCATGGTATTATACAGAAATTATAAATTTGTTTAATTACATCCCAGTTTGATGGTACATCCACCCTGGGCATGAGTAAGCAACAAAGGATAAAGTTGAGATCTAGATGAGATATGATGAGATATACAACATTTGGTTGTCCTGATTACAACACAGATGGATTTTGAGATATCCAGGGGACACACCAAAACCACCCACTATTGGGTGCCACATCTTTTTTCCTGGTGCCCACTTTCCAAGAAGCTGCTCTTGCACTTGAATTGTTGGTGTCGGACCAGCACTACATCCAATCAATGTCTGAAGCTTCTGTATGGATGACAGGTTGTGCTCTTAGGTTTATGTTCTGCATGCTCCTACTCCACAGCCCACCATCCAACCCCCCGAATATCCTCAACAGCTTCATTGAACGCCTGTCTGACGATCTCAACCACCAGTTAGTGTCAAAGTATGGCATAGAAAACCCCACAGAATACAAAACAAATCAGCTGTGTTATTTCCTATTGGATCAAGCTCTTTCAAGGCACAGTAAACACCTTTCAGATGTTGGTCTTGATGGTTTTGTCTGGGACTCCGACCTATGGGAACGTTTTATGTCCAACTCCCATGACAATCAGCACACGGTTTGTGAACATGCTTGGCAATTCCTTGACATGTTGGATCGGCTCAATCAGAGGCACAAGATCATCCTGGAGACAGTTGTTGAACTGACCAATCGGCTGGAGGCAGGACTTATGTACATTGACGGCCCTGGTGGATGCGGGAAGACATTTTTAATGAATACAATCATTCATTACTTATCAGCCTCAAATATTCCTGTTATTACGGTCGCATCCTCCGGTGTCACAGGTTTGATGTTGG